AAATGATTACTATGAAAATCATTTCAAATTGCGGATTTTGTGTAATTTTTTGAGAATACCACTGACAAAAGGTCACCTGCCTTGAAAATCAATGGTACTGTACTCATAAAATATGGTAACGATATAACGAAAAATCCACTAAAATTCTCCAAACAATTTGATGGCATATATTTAAGTGTCTAGCGATCTTCCTCGTACTCGTTTCAGGATGTTCTTCGACTTCGTGCAGCACTGCTTCCTCAATTTCAGGTGTTCTCACACTTAGAGGTCTACCTTCAGATGTTTCTTTTCGGACAGAACCAGTTTCAACAAGACGACGATGAATATTTGAAAAGGTTCGACTATCTGGCAAAGCACGATCGGGATATCTCTGGTGATAAATCCGTCTGGCTTGCTCACCATTACCGTCGTCAAGGCCATATACGTAATGCATTTCCGCCATTCATGCATTTAAATAATTCACCATTATTAATAAGATTGTAAATAATGAAAAAGATGTCACAGCGAACAGATTTGAATAACAGAGACTTGTCAGATGTCAAAAGGCAGTGACATATTCCAGAGCAACTAGATATTTATTGCTAAATTGCATTCTTCAATTATTACATTAATTTTCTTGGACAATAGAACGGTTTTTATTTTTTTACTCAAAAGTGACGCATTGAAGGAAAGCAATTCAAGAAAGATCATTTTTTTTTAATTGAACGGGAAATTCAAAAATAATTTTTATTTAGCGAAAAACCATTGCCGTACCATTTTTTTCTTAAAAAATATCGAAGTCAATACCCGAACGCACGCCACTGTTAAAGCTAAAAATTATTTTTGCATTGAAAAATATGCAACTTTATCAACTTCCACTATGTACTAAATATCAGTGAAATATCTGAAGCGGTTCTGGAAATATTAATTAATTTCCATTTTTTTCCTAAAACTTCAACACCCTCAGTTTTTGTAAGGAAACATTTTTGGAGCTTAGTTTATAGTGCAAACTAACACTAATTTTTCATATATATTCACACCCTTAAATATTCGCATATCATTAAGGAACACCCTGTATGTGCTTGTATGCAAAGTGCTTCTTGTGCATATAACATGGTTTTTTTTTATTCTCACGTGTTGTGGAAAGCGTTAATCAGCATAATGGATTAGAAGATTATTTATCAGATTGTTTTATTCTGAAAGGAGCTGTGTCAATGTATAATTGACCAATATTTTCGGTGAACCGAATGTGTAGCACCTTCCCGTTAAAAATGTTTTAGCTTTCTTATACAGGGTGACTGGAAATTCGACCGATTCCCTGAAAGTTGTGATTCTAGAGGTTATTTGTGATGAATTAATTTCCATCAACTGGGAGATCGGAAATGAGCGGTTTCCGAGATACCGGCATTTCAAGATTTTTTAAGAATTTTCTGCTTACTGATCAACAATTTTTTTTTAAATCTACTCATTTCTTGTAACTGATTTGATGGTTTTCTGAGAGCTGTGAAACTAGCAAATAATTGAGATAAAAATGCTATACCAAAAGTTTGAAACTGTAAGAAATAAAAGGCTGTTGGTGAAGAGATTTTCATTTTTGTTTATTATTTCCGAAATTCAACATAAGTTATTTGAAATAAAAAGTATGACAGCCGGCGTACAAATTACAAAAATAATTACAGAATTTCATGAGCTCTCAAAGACAGTACAAATTTAAAAAACGTACAAAGGGTAATGTAGGTACGATATCTGCAACGGATACATTGTACACTAATTGTTTCATGTGACCCCAAATGTAAAAATCGCAAGGAGTCAAGTCCGAACTTCTCGCCGGCCACGGCGTTGGGCCTCCTCGACCGATCCATCTCTGCGGATACTTTTCATCCAGCCATTGTCGTACACCTCGAAAATAATGGGCTGGGCAGCCATCATGCTGGTATATCATATTGATTCTCCTAGCTAGCCGAACATCTAGTAATGCATCTACTTAATTTCTTAAAAAGTTTTCATAAGTGGTGCCATTTAAATTGTCGGGCAAGAAGAAGGTCAAATCAATTTATTATGTATAATTCCCATCCAAACGTTTAACGAACATCTTCTCTGGCGCTTGCATTCCTTGAATTGTTTTGGATTTTGTGCTTAGGGGCCCAATAGTGGGCATTGTAATAATTTGTAATACCATCACGATCGAATTTCGATTCATCAGTCCAAAGGATATTTTTGAGGTAGTCTGGGTTTTCAATATCGGCATGAATTAAGAATCTACAAAAGTCAATCCTTCGTGCAGGGTTGCCCTCCTCCATAGCGTGCACTGGAGTGTAATGGTATTGATAAAGTTGGGCTGTATGAGCAATAATCCAGGATTTCCATTGGGATATACCAAGTTGCCGTGCCACTTGTCTAGTTGACACAGTGGGGTTTGCTCGAAAACTCTAAAATTTCTTCTTCGTCAGCATTATGGATAACAGGTCTGCCAGCGTATATTTGTCGTCAATGAACCAATAACAAAAAGACCTGAAACGTCATTATAATGCTTAAGAAGACAGTATACATTCGTTATATTCAATTTCAATAAAAAATATTAATACTTAAATAAATACAATAACACCGGCAACCGTTCATTTCATTTTCATAGTATGATGTATAATTCTCTGACTGAGTGAGTCGTTACTATAGGCAACAGAATACTCTCGTCAGCTTCGAGGCCGGTCGGTAATCGTATCGTTCAAATGAACGTCTCCGAACGAACGACTCTCACTAAAGAGAGATGAACGAAATGAGCGAGCTCAGAGAAAAGAGTCGTATGTCTCAAGCCTATATCGGGCAAAAATGACGTGAGCAGTGTTGCCGTACCGAAAAAAGACGGAATCGGTAGATAAATCAAATTCAAGAGGATAACCAAATGAAAGTGGTATTTACCATTTTGGGTTGGTATTTACCGATCTGTTCAAGCGAGTGTGGTTATCAGTTTGGTTATAAGATCAGTGAAGTTATGAATCAGCTGTTATATGTCATAGTTATCACCGTAAAATTGTGGTATTTACCCAACTCAGGAATAGTTTTATATTTCTGGTTATTATTTAAAATGTGACAAGTTAGAATTTTGCCGGGTATTGGATATTGTTATTGTACTTCAGCTTCATTTTTGGGAAACTTGATACATGCTGACTTCAGTTTTACCATAAAGTGGAGCACCTTTTTAGTTATACTCATTACTGTTATTGGGGACACTTTAAATGTAGTTCCTATGCTTAACAAAGTATCCTGTGTAGCCATATACCACAAAAATATTAAAATATGGCCATATAAACTCACTAGATGATGTCCACCTGTATACAGTTTTGCTAATATCTTTTTTCATCATTTCTGCTGAATCAATAAATATTTTCTTTGACATGCGGGAAAGTTTAGAGAATTGAAAGTTATCATAGCTCCAAAGCCATGGTTCCATCATTAAAAAAAATTCTGAAAAAAAAAACATTTCTCCCATGAATATTATGAAAAGTTTCTTTTTGAAACTTTCCATACACAGTTGTAGACGAAAAAGCACCCATTATTAAGTGATCATAAAAATAATCAGAGATTATATACGCGATTTTCTAAAATAAACAACTTGCAACAAAACCGCGGTTAAAACCAACGCGTTCAAGCGATTCGTGTAACTGATGTCATCAACCCGTGTGTCATCTTGAACCATATTATAACCGTGGCACATAACACAGACATTTTGGTTATTCGCTTGGATTTGATTATTGTGTCGTTGTAATTCGAAATATTTTCAAGGACAAAATCGATAAGAGGGAAAAAACAGGGCATTCACAAGATCAGCGATGGATCAAGTATAAGTATATTTTTGTACTGCGCGCGCGTACACAACACAGGTGTTTTTGAGGGCATCTGTTCGTGAAAAAATCTCAGGTTCTTTATTACAACTTGTACAATGATCATATTATACTGGTCGCTCTTGAAACTCATTTTCAACCGTCATTGATACTCTTTTTGCCACTCTTGTTTATAAGATTCTGAACATGTTTATGTTTCACCCCTGAACTTAAAGTAACATTACCATTTTTATGTAATATTCAACCAAATACTACACAGATTACATAGACTTCAATTTTTTGCTTTATTTTTGGTTCCAGCTCTTTTTCTGTAACATATCTGGAAATATCTGAATTGTTTTAAAAAATCATGGTAAATGAGGTTGTCGGTATTTCGGTAAATGTCTGATTTCGGTAGAAATGCCAAAAAATCGGTAAGTTCGGCAACACTGGGCGGGAGCACGTAAGGAGTAACGGAGATAGGTCGATTTTAGATTGTCGTTCAAGTGTCAATGTCAATTGTTACTCGATTCAGCGTTGCAAGAAACCCACTGAATAGCTAAAATGTGAAATGTTTTGTTTTGTATCTCCTATCTAAATGTTGTATCCGATAAGGCCATTTTGCTATTCATTTTGCACTCACACTTATTCTTAAAAATGATTAAATATTATATATCGTTTGGTAACACCTTAATAATTAGTCGTTTCATAACTTTGCTTTGAGTAGACATCGATCAGAGACAGAATGAGATTATTTCTCTGCCCTCTGACTTGATTCGTTTTAAATCGGAAATATTCTTATTTCAGTCGGACCAACAACTGAGCGCTTCCGCGCCAAACATTCATGTAAATATCCCTTTTTGGTTGTATCCCCTGAAATAAATATTTCAAAGTTATTTCCCAGGATAAAATAAGCCTACTATATGTGCTATTTCAGACTATAATTTAACTCTGTACCATAGATCCATTCGGGCATTTTGGAATGATTGAGTAACAAACGTCCACGTTGTCTGATAGGCTTCTTGTTAATATGTTCTAAATTCGGACCCACAACGCTACAATAATTTGTTTATGATAAAATTCAACATCGAGTTTTGTTCGCTTGTAGCCTCGGAATAATACATAGCAGTATTTTTTATTAGCTGTTAGTAGCATACATCCATTCTCCTTCAGAAAATGTAACGAACGTTCTTGGCTACCATGCAGTCTGTCAGTCCAGTTCTATTCTCCTTTGAAGAATAAAAAACCATAGAAACCATTTAAATTGAAATTTATTTTTTGACAAACGTATTACTAATGGATTTTTGACGTTTTGTTTTAGATAACGCAAGCGATACGCATTATTTTCAAGAACAGCAGTAGTTTAATGGCCGTGAGTACCCCCTATGTATAATCGGTGCACTTTAAATTTCGCGCTTTGAAACCAGTTATATTTGGTTTGTCACATAGCATATCTTAACTAAACATTGGCGTCGGTATTTGCTCATTTACAAAATCGGGCGTTCCAATTGGCGGTCTTCCTACTAGTGAGAAAGCAGACATGTAAAAATACATGCTCAAGAAACGTCAGAAAATTATAAAATCCAACCTCTGAGATCCAACCTATAAACATCTTTTTTACTTTTTTGCAGGCTTGTAGCTCCCCCTTTAAAATGAGTACTGGCGCGATGGAATCTGAGGTAAAATATAAAATAAGCAATTTCCATAGTATACAAATTACCATAGTTTATTTGAAATACATCTAAAAAAATTACACCGCCCTTCCATATTGGCATACAAAAACTGTATGCTAAAGAGATATCCCAAGAGAGGAAGATGATATTTACAAATCATTTCTTTGGCACAGGTAGAGAAGAAACAAGAGAGCGAAACTGAGATTCCTATGGATTTCTCTATAAAGCATCCTCTTCAAAACTGTTGGACTCTGTGGTACTACGAAAATGACAGGAGTCAGTCATGGGAGAAGAACCAAAAGGAAATAGCTTCCTTTCAATTTGTAGAAGATTTTTGGAGGTAATTTTCTAGATTAATTGATCCTCATCCTAATGTTCCGCAATAAGTTGATCATTTCCACATCATAAGTTCCATTAGTCAAAATGTCCACTTATTGATATAGAATTAGATAATTATGAATATGATTTTTGAATAATCACTTAATTTCTTGGAAAAACGTAATTAGCAATATCTAAAAATTAGTTCAATTGAAGATCCAAATACATGTACTTATCAATTTGTGTTTATTGTTTCAAAGTCTGTACAACCATATTAAGTCTGCAAGTGAGCTGAAGCAAGGAACTGATTATTCCTTATTCAAGAAAGGAATAATGCCTATGTGGGAAGATAAGGCAAATCATAGAGGAGGTAGATGGTTGCTGAGTTTAGAAAAGAAGCAGAGGGCAAATGAACTTGATCGGTACTGGTTAGATATTGTGAGTATAAAGAATTTTTGCACTTCTTTTACTTTTTATCATCAAAAGTTACAAGTATATATATTTATATAAATTGCACATCTGATCATAGTTTCCTATTAAAAACATATAGCTTAAAGCTGTACATTCAATCAAAAAATAGGATTTCATCATAAAATTAATCAAATAGAATAGTTAATCAATAGACAATTCTGCATAATTTATGGCTGTTAAATGATACCATCCATGTACCTGCTGTACCATGTTAAGATCCCATGAAGTGATAATGATAATTTTAGAATAGCACCCTTCAAACCCTTCAAACCCAGCAAAGTCGAGGAGTATGCATTTTTGCTCCCAAAGACAAGCGAGCAAACATTTAGACCCCCCCCCCCCCCGCCCCCACACATCAACTCAGAAACGTTATTTCGAGAACTTGAAAACCAAACCAGAACTGTTGTTACGATACATCTATTGACTTTTATATGATCTTTGACTACTGATGGTGCACCTGCATTGTTTCTAAAAATGCAAGAAATTGTACACTGACACCTCAAGGGCACTATGTTGTTTGTCTTGTGAGAAAATAATATGAAACAACAGTTTGGCATTAAGTTGGTTTGCGCATTTGGGACCCAATGACTGTTAGAAAAAATGTATAGCCCAAGAGTCTGGAAAATATTGATTATATCTCTACTTCAATGATGCTCATCCAAATTGGTTCACAATCTACGAGCCCCTTCCCACTTCAAGATTTGTACCAAAATATGCCTTTATAAACTAAACATGATGAAACTATTTACTTCTAAAACAATTTTTTTTCTCAAAAACATTTTAGATACACTCTAGTCGTAAAAAATACATATTTGAAATCACTTAGACCTATAACTAATAGAACATCTGAACAAATAAACAATGTGCGAATCAATGCGCGAAGTTAACAAAGCAACAATTGAAAGATTACCGTTGTGTAACATCACCTTTATTTTTTATTACAGCTGAAATTCTTTGGGGCATAGTGTTAACCAAGTGTTGGCAAAATTTGATGTAAAACAATCCCATATTTTTTGAAGCTTTTGTCTCAGTTCGGTGATTGTACGGCAGGATGTTGTCATAGAACCTTTTTCATCTCGTGTCACAAAGTTTCAAAAGGTGACAGATCTGGACTGCTAGAAACCCATTTCAAAAGTGGTACATTATTTTCTTCCATCCATTTTATGGCCTTTTTTGAGGTATGGCACGCTGCACCATCTTGCTGAAACACAAAATCTTGGCCGGATGTCAAACATTCTTCCATCACTGGTAAAAGCGATTCTTCTAAAATTGCCAAATATTTGTGTGTATCCACATTTCCATCAATAAAATGAAGTTTTCCTACTCCTTTTGATGACATACTGCCCCAGACCATAATGGATGCTGGAAATTTCACTTTTCTCTTCAGACAGTCCATTGTCTATGTTCTTTAGCCCATCTAAGCCGATTTTTATTTTGCAGTGGAGTTAATAGTGGCTTTTCTTTGGACTATAAACAAGTTGTGCAACTTTAGGGTTTTTACTTCACTTTTTTTTATAACTTACCTTGCAAGTGCTAAATCACAGTTTGTGAGCCTCTCTATGAGTTGTGGACCTCGAAATTCTCCTTCCAACAGCGTCACTCCACAGAGCACTTAATTGTAAATAATTGGCACGCCTGTTTTACACGATTATTCTTCTTAATGCTCTTCGGTCGGCATTTGTGATATTACTTTTTTTCACATATCGTGGCTTAATATTAACTGAACCAGTTACGTTATATCTTCTAACAATATTTCTCACACTGTACCGCGACAAGTCTAGCAAAGTTGCAATTTCTGAGTTTGATTTCCCAAAATTAAAAAATTTCATTATCAGTAAACGAATTTTTTCACTAATAACCTTTCCTCTACCCATTTTGAAAACCTTAACTACCCAAAACTATTTTAAACGTATTCTGACAGCTGTGATTAATAAAAACAATTGTCATGGCTTTTATTTTTCGCAGCCACCTATGCGTTATACACTTATTTTTGCATTGAAATGAAAATAGGTTGATATGCTGTAATTGCAACATGTGTTATTTTTATGCTGCAAATTTGATTAGGGAGTGATGAAGTTGGTGTTTTCTACTATATATTATCAAAATGAAAATATTCATTGTTAATATTTTAAACCTATAAAACCCTGCTTTTTATTATTTGTGTTTGATACGAAAAATACTAAGATTTCAATAGTTGGGCCAACTGAAGTGGGAAGGGGCTCGTATAGAAGAACTGGAATGACAATTATTGTTTAACTTTATATAGGCTGATTCATTTACCTTCTTATTGTAACGGTCATCTTCTTAAGGCAATATTGATCTCCCCACCATTTTGCTCTATGCCCTGTTCCCCATAGATTTATTTACTTATGTTTGCTGATAAGTTTTGTATGGCATAGTAGGATCACAGTGTGTTAGTTTCAAAAACCTCTTACTTATGGTATACTACAGACTCTACTGTTTGTGGTTTGTAGCTGTCTTAGGGGTATAGGTAGAGAGTTAAGTCTTTGAATTTGAAATTCTTGAGGATAACTGTTACTGTAAATATGTTTTGAAGGAAGAGGTAATGATTTACATGATCTCAGCCATGTTACAGGACCATTCAGGCATTTGTTGTAACACACTGTATAGCAGTAGCAAAACAAATCAACTGACATAAATATAAAATGAGTTTAAATTCTCATTCTTGATATTTACCATTATTTACTCTGAAAAAGGCCACCAAGGTGGGCAAAATGTTAGTATAAAAGCAAAGTTACATGTGGCTCCAGATGTTACATTGATTAATAGATCTGCATTTATTATTGTATTTTAACTTTCCATAAAACTAAAAAGCTAGAAGTTTATCAAGCTGTTCTTTTTTGTAGCTTCTGTGCTTGATTGGTGAAGCTTTTGAACATTCAAATGAGATTTGTGGTGCTGTTGTGAATATCAGGCAAAAAGGAGATAAAATAGGTAATATCAAAATTAAATATAATATTTGCAGGGCTTATTCTGGCAGTTGACTTTCTCTTTGCTGGCATGAATCAGTATGTTTTCAGTTGTGATACTTATTACTCATCCTACATTCAGCTTTCCACCTATTGTGACTTCTGTTACATCTAAAAGAATAAGCTTAGCAATGTACAGTAATATTTTTAGTTGCTCCAGGTACATACGTACAGGTTTGAATTTTCCATTATATTTCTATATATTGCTGACAAATTGTAGAATAAACAGATTACTACTAAAGTTTGTAGGCCATGTGACAAATTCTGACCAGTGTATGTGTCTACATACTGCAGGCAATATTGTAAGTGGATATACATACTTATAGGCTGGCCCTATGCTGAAATATAGTCCAGGTAGTATCTTCGCATCTGATCGGGATTCTCATCCGTATTTTTTGCATAATCTTATTCGAAAAGGACCTCTTTTAACGAATATTCATCTTGCCAGGCGTAAAATTGCGTTAAAAATTGTTTGGTACAAATTTTTAATCATACCAAAATTTGTTTTTTCACTCCAACGCAGTTTTAGAATTTTTAGTCCATTCTGAACAAAAAAGATGCTTTAGAACTTTACTCCAGAGTTGTTATTTTTTCAGACATAAGTGATTTAATATTCAAAAAAGTGCAAGATATGCTATGTTCGACCCTGAAAAGCCATATGAAAAAACGAAAAGTTCTGAAAACACACTGAGCATAATGAAAAACAAATTTTTGGAATCTGTAGCAAGAAATTGCTTAAGTAGATGATGGCGCAATTTTGGGCCTGGTAACATGCAGATTCGGTAAAAGGGGTCCTTCTGAATAAGATTATATAGAAAATCATAATCAGAATATTTTTTCTAGTGGATGCAAAGGTACTACCTGGATAAATATGGTCATGATAGCGGGCGATAGTGTTGTCAACGTATGTCATTAGTGTATTATAGCGAAAGATTACTCATTTAGAGGCCCCATAACACGTTCACTGTGTGACCATTTTTTGGTGACGTCCAAAATGACTTTATGGTACCTACCCTTTGGTGCGGCACCAGTATCTGGTAAGCATCCTTCAATCGTATGAGCTGTAATTTGTGAGGATGCCTTAAGACTAATTATAGATAACTTTGTTGAACACTTAGAAACAATATTGCTGTAGTCATACATAGATTAAAAAAAGTAAATGAAATACCAGAGGAAAAAGTAACACTCAATTTATATATACAGGGTGGCGCATCGAAAACGAAACAGGCGCAGCTCAGTTTTTTTTGGAAAAACGCTCAGACCTGTCGATTTTGTTTTCGAGGAGGACACAAGTTTGGCAAAAAATCACGTTAACACGTGCAGCCCCCTGGGCGGGGGTGACACCTACCCTAAAATCTTAAATGGAAAGGGGGGTCGAGTGATACCTTATTTTAAAGGGCTTTCAATTCCCTTTATAATGATGTAAAATACATGAGCTTCAGTTTAGTAGTTTTGAAGATTTATTGATTTAAAGCTTAAAGTAGACTTTAATAGGTACATCAGATTAGTTTGTACTACTTTCAGAAGAAATTTAACTAAAAGAATTTACTTAATAAGTAAATGCTTTTCTTCATTACGCCCATGGTTTGTTTATCATTTTGTTGTAGAAAATAGCGATTGGAGCGTTTTTTGTGGCAAAAAATTATTTCTTGAAGAAAGATAAGGAAATATCTCATACTTATTTCAAATAGGAATTTAGTACATAGTTTGCGATTGATTTGACCAAACTTTGTTGCTAAAATAACTTGTAACGCTTTATTACATAAATTAACTATGGTACATTCCACAGCAGAAAGAGTTGAAATTATCGAAATATTTTTCGGTAATCAGTGCGCTAATAGAACAGCAGAAATATTTAATGAGCGACATGAGAACAGTAACGTGCATCAAAAATATGTTCTAAAACTTGTAGCTAAATTTCGGGAAACTGGGTCAGTCGCCAATAAAAAACGCAACATTGAAAATCCCATAAGGAACGAAGCAATAGAAGTGGGTGTTTTAGGGCAAGTTTATGTAGATCCTACGTTAAGTACCCGCAAATTGGAGACTGTGTGTGGTGTTAGTCGACGTACTGTCCAACGGATTCTAAAAGCTCAGAGTTTTCATCCATTTAAAATTCACCTGGTACAAGAACTTAATGAAGACGAATTTGATCGGCGATTACAATTTTGTGAAGATATGAATGAACGATGAACATTTTCTATTCAACACTTGCTTTTCCGACGAATGTTCCTTTTTCTTAAATGGCGTAGTAAATCGTCATAATTGCCGATATTGGTCCGATTCTAATCCCAGAATTTATCATGAGGTTCATGCACAGCAGCCACAAAAATTAAATGTTTGGGCTGGTATTTTTGGCGATCATTTAGTTGGTCCTTTTTTCCTACCTGGAAATTTGACCGGTGAAATGTATTTGGAATTACTGGAAGACGCCATAGATCCTGCATTAACAGCCATAATTGAAAATCAGAATGATCGGTGGTTCATTGCGAATAGGTTGATGTTCCAACAGGATGGTGCCCCACCACATTACGCATTACGTGTTCGACAATATTTAGATCAGACGTTTCCAGATCGATGGATTGGTAGAAGATGTGCCATTGAATGGCCCCCAAGATCGCCAGATTTATCACCTTTGGATTTCTTTATGTGGGGTCATTTAAAAAATAAAATCTATGCTACTCAGCCAACATCATTAGAAGACCTGCAATAAAGAATTTTGAATGAGTGCCTTCAAATTACTCCTCAAATATTGCAAAATGTGCGGCAGCGTTTCGACCAAAATCTTTATTATTGCATGGAGAGTCATGGTGGCCATTTTCAACATTTACTTGCCTAACGGGTCAGTTCATTCATTTTTAAATTACGTTGCTGCCAAATGTATTGATCTCCACTAATGATGATGTATTAGTTTTATTTAAGCTTTAAATCAATAAATCTTCAAAACTACTGAACTGAAGTACATTAATTTTATAACATTATAAAGGGAATTGAAAGACCTTTAAAATAAGGTATCACTCGACCCCCCTTTCCATTTAAGATTTTTTGGGTGGTGTCACCCCCGCCCAGGGGGCTGCACGTGTTAACGTGATTTTTTGCCAAACTTGTGTCCCCCTCGAAAAGAAAATCGACGGGTCTGAGCGTTTTTCCAAAAAAAACCTGAGCTGCGTCTGTTTCGTTTTCGATGCGCCACCCTGTATACAGGGTTATCCAAATTAAGTGTCCACCATTAGTAACTTTGTTATTAGTGAAAATACAAAGTTGTTTGAATTAGCAAACTAGTAGCATTTTTAACGCTGGTAAAAATGAGAAATAAAAAAAAACAATTGAGAGTCGTTATTTTGATTTTTTTCAGTAAAATTACATTTTTTTAAATGGAAACCCCTGTATATTATATTTTTTTCTGTTAAAGCATCAAATTTTAAACAAAAAAGTTCATAATGACTTTTCCGCTAAAGTCAAAAATAAAGTCAAAATAACGATAAATATTTTTAATTATTTGCAGTATTATAATATTAAGACGGCTATGAAAACAACATGGCGTTCGCGATTTGACAGCATTAAGATAAGCGACAAATTGTTAAACTGGACATACTCGCAACTAGAAGGCTTTGGAAAACAATGATAAAATCAAATAATGTCAAACATTAGTGTAAATACTTGTTTATAAGCTTTATTGTGTCATTAATTTAAAGAAAAATATTCTCCCATGAAGAAAAGTGTGATATGTTAGAATGCTATTTAGTGTGCAGAAAATCCTCCTTGAGAGCAAGAGTACTACAGTGAATTATATCCCGCTCGCATTCAACCGTATGAACGATATTTTCTGAGACTTTATCGAAAATTTAGGGGCAACGAAAATGTTTTTGCTAAAACAAGGGCAAAAAAAGAATTCATAATAAGCGAGGCCACGGAAATTGCAGTTATTGGATATTTTGAAGCTTATCGTGAGAATTCAATAGCAGATATTCTCAAGGACTCTAATTTCAGTTATGGTACTGTTCAAAGGATTTTAAAAAAATACAAATTTATTCCGTATAAGTACCGACCAGTTCAAACGCTTTTGGCAGGGGATCCAGAGAGAAGACTTGTTTTTTGCCATTGGTATCTTAGCTTCTGTCGCCAAAATGTAAATAACTTTCGTTACCTTTTATGGACAGATGAATCAAATTTTTCAAATTCTGTAATGTTTAATAGAAAAAACCACCATTATTGGTCAAGAGAAAATCTTTTGTTAGTACATCCAAGAGGCCCACAAGTCCGTTTCAGTTTCAACGTTTGGTGCGGTATAATTGGTTCAAAAATTGTTGGCCCGTTCTTTTATGAGGGAACCCTAACTGGTGAAAGATATGTGGAATTTATGTCAGAAATTCTGACTAATTTCTTAGACGAATTGGATCTTATAAGTAGACATCATCTGCATTTTCAGCAAAATGGCGCACCTGCCCACAACTCCAGAGGTACTTATCATTTTCTAAGTACTACTTTTAATGATCAGTGGATAGGAACAAATGGCCCAATACAGTGGCCTCCCAGATCACCAGATCTAAACCCACTTGATTACTTCTTGTGGGGTTACTTAAAGAACCAAATTTACAAGCGAAGGTACGATAACCTTGACGCGTTAAAGACTGCAGTTAGGGAAAAGATAACCCAGATAGATGGTAGGACCATACTTAAGACAGTTCGAGCAGTTGAAAAACGTGCCCAAAAATGTATTGAAGAACAAGGTGGTGTTTTCGAGCATCTTCTTTAAAAAAAATTGTTATTGTATTTTGTAAGATTATAAGTTGATGTTGAAAATAAAGTTTGTCGATACAATTTAATTGTTTCAGATTGGAGGCCATAACTTCAACAATTTGTAACCTAGGAGAAAAGTTATTGTAAGCTTTTTTGTTTAAAATTTGATGCTTTAACAGAAAAAAATATAATATACAGGTGTTTCCATTTAAAAAAATGTTATTTTACTGAAAAAAATCAAAATAACGACTCTCAATTGTTTTTTTTATTTCTCATTTTTACCAGCGTTAAAAATGCTACTAGTTTGCTAATTCAAACAACTTTGTATTTTCACTAATAACAAAGTTACTAATGGTGGACACTTAATTTGGATAACCCTGTATATAAAAAAGAACCATATTATTAGTATAACTTAAGTTCTTTTGCACTCTACAAAAAACGTAATGACTTCTGCCAGCGTCTCTACTTGATAAAGGTGTATTTAATTTTTTGTTGCACCTCGCCAGTTTCGACGACACTCGCTCCCATGGCATTTTTCAGCTAGATAAATATAGACGAAATCACGAAAGATGACGATTACGTCATCATTTTAGTCTGTAGTAAAGTCAAACGACAGCGATTTGTGAATATTTTTAATGAAGTGTTAGAAATGTTGAACAGAGACAAACAGAATTTTATTGTCTAAACAAACTGTATTGCTAATTTGCATGTATCCGACAAAGATAGACGATGTTTTCATGTTGCATGATCGATCATATTTGAAAAATGAATAGTTAGGTTATGTTAAAGCAGGTCAGGTTGTTTTCGAATAATACTTTGGTCTTTGGTGTTCCTATCTCAAGGTATTCTACTCATAACTGTTTTTTTTTTTCAAAACAAAAACTCCCCACTAAAATTCTTATTATTAAGGTATCACTCAAAACCATGAAATAAAATGAAAATGAAAATAATCAGTGAAATAACCTAACTTCGCAAAATCATAATATAAATTTGTTGTCATTGTTCCTGACATCGAGATTTTATCATCGACGTACGTCCATTGATTACTTCAGTACAATTTATGGTATGAGGTTATAGTCATCTTTCGTGATTTTGACTATTATGTACTCTTTTCAGGGTTGAAGTATATTGCGTTTTGGTTATCTCCTTTCAACGCGAATGCCAACCTTTCTTGGGATCGAAGAATTCTCAGAGTACATTCGTTTTAACTTCATTGTAGGAGCTGACAATTGCTGGACCAAATACAGGGTGTAAACGTTATGATACTCATTATTTAAATGGGTGATAGAGGGGGTTAAAAGAAACAAAAAGTTTCATATAACATGGCATTTTTTAGAGAAAAGCGACTTTAAAGTAAAATAAATCTGACAACGCCGCAAAACTATGCAAAAGGATAACTGACCACTATTAAGCTGGCAACGGACAATGAGCGATAATATAATATATATTATAGTCGTACACTACGCTATATTATATTATATTATGACTGCAACCGACTACAAAATATATATTTTCATATCTTTCTAGCAGTGGTGCCGAACCTACCGATTTTTCAGCATTTCTGTGCGTAGGCTGGTCTGCTGATCTGTGCTGTACACAGTGTATTTAATTAACAAGATATCCTCCATATGTTAATCTGCCGCGCTTGAGTAAATCCTAAAATCCCCTCTTGGGTTTTCCTACTATTAGCTTTCAAACTACCTATGTATATAAAAATAAATATTTACAAGTTCATACCGTCGGATATATCGCAATCAGCCATGATACTCCTCCAAGCTGCTTCTTTAATCTCATTATTTTCATACTCGTTCGAGTCTACCTTCCATAAACATGGGTGTTTTCTTACACATTCAATAAAATACTCCATTTAGTCTATTGCGAAGTGCAAGAGCAAATAACAAAGTGGCAACGCCGCGCCAAGCCGGCCACCAGCAAGAGCGGTTCGTGGGCATTTACGGGTGACGTGACACAAGGGGAGGATAGATATAGCGCGATATAGGGCAGAATATCGCTCGGTAAGCATATCCCGACAGATACGTAATATATCACTGGGATATAAATATATCTTATGGTGTCCGTGCGTGGCGGTTCAATACGTTTACACATGGTGCGATATTTCTGTAATATGCAGGATATAATATATACTATATTATCGCTCACCGTCCGTTGCCAGCTTTACCCGTTTGCGATCGATTGCCAGTTCAATGAGTGATGATGACCGACGCGCTGTTGTCAAGTGTGTTTTAAATATTAAATTTAATGAAACTTACTTTCTTACTGACTACAAATTTTGGCTTAACTTAGAAAAACTTAACGCCATTTATTTGTTAATTACCTAATTTAAAAACGTTTTAGATTAGATTATAAAAATTAGTAAGAGCCATTTACACAAAAATATATTGACTTTTGGACCATGGGTCATATGAACTTTTTGACTTGTTTTGACCCCGCTATTACCCATTTCAATAATAATTATTACCATAACGTTTACACCCTGTATAACTATAAAAACGGTTTTTCTAAATCATTTTAATTCTCTATGTGGTATAATAGGACGATAATTGGTAGCTAATATCGACCCCCTTTTTGGCTCTATTAAGAATTCAAATACCAGTCACATGTATCCGGTAATGCACAGGAGAGATAACACATTCGTTGAATGCGTTACCAGTCGTAGGTATTCAACCAAGCTAAAAAATTAGGCACATTGCTAGGATAATAACATATAGGTTGAAAGGTTGCCGGGTGAAAGTTGCCTTGCTCTGAATAGAATATGCTATACCAGTCTCATGTATTCCGTACGCAGTGAACGCGTTAATAGAACTTGTTTTTGGTGGTTCTCCATCAAAAAATACTCTACTATGAACAACTGTTTCTGTAGATTACTAAGTTATAGACCTATTATAATGTCATAGGTATATGGACTAGCGATGCATCAAATGCTACTGCTGTCCTTGAAATTGGCAGGAAGCTGAAGGAAAGGCTCCACATACCACCTAGAACTATGTTGGGGTATCAAGTTCACAAAGATACCATGGACAAGACAGGATCAGTTTCAAAATTTTCTTACACTGTTTAGCATTTGTATGGACTTATTGTGTTATTTGAATTACTGAAGATTTCTTTATTTTCTTGACATCTGAGTCTGTCTTGAGTTTGAGTTTTTCATTATTTAAACAGTTTGGGATATATTGGTCGTCCATCAGCATGGATGCTTCATTTTTTGTTTTGTTGTTTTTACATTATATTCTATGATATTATAATAAATTGACTGACAGTTTGTAAAGAAAAATATATTAAAACATTAATGATACAGTATTTGTTTTTGTAACTAAGTGTACTACTTGATTTGAAATAAACACATGAGTTATTTTATCACCTCAGCTACAATTTTATCTATCTATTCTGGAAATACAGTGTACTCCGTCAATAACGTACAATATTTTCACCCACTTAGTAGTCATATTCTGGTTATAACGTACTAAGGTAGGTACGTTATAAACAGAGTAATTCTCCGCCTCTGTCGGGGATTCCCATTAAACGATACTGGGAAGTTTCACCTCTGTCGCGCGTTGACAGGAATGCCGCCGGCGCGGCCCCGGGGATTTCCAGTAATCATTAAAGACAGGGAGAAAGAAAAATATGGCAAAAACAAAAGTTTCGACAATTTGGTGCAATCGTCAAAAAATCAAACAAGCAAGTGAATATAAATCGCATAGAATTAAGACAATTTATTAGAAATCCTGTACTTCCAGATGTGAATCAAGCTCTTATACGATGGTTTGAGGTGTGAAGAACCGAAAATATTCGTATAAATGGTCTAATTTTAAAAGCATAAGCGGAAGATTTATCCAAGTGATTACACGGTGGCGATTTTAGGTGCACTACGGGTTGGTTCGAGCGTTTCAAAGTTCGTCACAACATAAATGTCGACAAAGTGTCTGGTGAAGCAAGATATGTTAACAAGGAAGCTGTGGTGAACTGGTTAACGGATAAATGGCCAGGCATTGTATAAAATTACAGCTGTGAGGATATTTTTAATGCGGATGAAACCGGACTATTTTACAAGATGACTCAGGACCGTACACTGATAGAAATATAAAATATTATAATAAATAGAAGAGAAAAGTGTGTAGGAGGCAAACAATCAGCGCTAATATGCACCGTTTTGGTTTGCGCAAATATGACACGTAGTGAAAAATGTAAACTTCTTGTTATTGGTGAATTCGAACGACCGAGGTGCATGAAAAATATTAAAAACTTGCCTGCCATTTATAAATCGAACAGACCCGCATGCATGACTTCAGACATTTTTATTAATTATTTAAAGGAGTGGGATGAAAAACTAGGACGTCAAAAAAGAAAAATATTGCTTCTAGTTGACAAATTGTGCAGCTCATCCTGAGAATGTTGATCTGACAAATATCAGATTACAATTTTTGCCTCCCAATTGCACCTCGGTCGTACAGCCGATGAATCAAAAGGCATAATAAAATGCCTTAAAACATATCGTAGATATTTTATGTATCGCCCAATCCGAGCATTGGATAATGAAACTTTCAAAATAACAATTTTAGACTCGATTTGCCTCTAAATCAGTGGTATGAGAAAGGTGTTGATGATGATGATTGGAACGTCACATTAAGTGACTGGTTGCGAAGTCACAGTCCAGACATAACTACTGTGGAAAAATATCTTCCTGAACTAGATAATTTTACGACCATCGACGATAATTTGGTGGCAACGGAGACAAGCCTCATTAAAAGTTGAGAGAGTTATATGTTACAATTTCATATTATATCTTTTTATATTACATACCTAGAATGTATTTTTAGTTAGTTTAGTCCTTTGCAATAAATAAAAATTTACTTGTTTATTTTTATGGGTTTCCTTTATAGCATACCAGAGTTCACTGTACATTTATTTTTTGTATCACCTACTTGCACAAAAATATTAGATTGTAATCTCTATGTATAATTTGGATATGCAAGTTAATTGGGTAAAATTGGAGAGACACCATTAGAGATTACAGGCATTACATTAATTTAACCCATACTAAGGTGCACTAAATAAGATTTGACCTGGAAATTCGCTTTTTCTCAGTAATATAGGACTAGCCCTATTTAAAGTATAGTCTTAGATGAACAAGTCAAGAAACTCAAGTCCTGCTGATAGTATGAATCATCTGTACCAATAATTTATGTGTTCCAGTTTCCAGAATAGTTTTATGCTAAATAAATCATAAACAAACGGTTATCCAAAACAGGTTTTCTTATTTAACATCATTTGCATGTTAATACAATCATATTATGTACATATCATAGACCATAAGCAGCATATAATCTTTGAACATGTTCAGAAAGATCTCTCCGTCTAGCCTTACTCAAAGCAAAGTATAAATTGGCTTTCCAGTAATTTGGATCACAGGTACTTTTGGAGTAGTTTAAGACTTCCCTAATTATTTCTGAAGTCCTATCCCTATATGTTGCTTGCAGCTCATCTATTTGACCCTCTCCAATCTTCAGTGCTCTTGCAAAGTCTTTCCATTTTTTTCCTAGATGGTTACTGAGAAAGTCAAATACTCTACAATCAGGGTCGGCAGACACCTCAGGGAGAACTGAAAAAAAATGTATTTCAGTTTATGGTACATAAACAGTGTGCAATATCTAGAATTGATCTTGTAATGAGCTCTTACTTTGTTGTGTTCTATTTGAATTTATGTGTGTATGTACTATAGGTTTCTGTACCGCTTCTCTTCTAGGTATTCTGCCAGTATCAATAATGGTAATGATGTCTTTTCTGTCTAGTTCATTTGATAGATGTCTAAAAACATGATTTGAGATACAATCTCTCTTTTCGAGAGTCCTTAACAAATCTGCTATGTTGAAAATTCGTTCGAACAAGCGTTCAGAATCTATATCATTTTTGTAAGTTTCTTTAATCCGACTCAAATTGAATGGTGTGCATGGTACTCCTGATAGTTCATCAAAAGCATGTCTGTAAATATTGTCTGGAGACATTTTCTCATTATATATGATGACAGAATTGATGCAAAGTGAATTAAATCCGACAGTTGAACAACGCTTTTCGACCCTTATTTTTTGGTCAAAGGTCTGGAAAATTAAAATTTATTTTTTTCATCACACAACAATAATATATACATTGAACATTGAAAACTATTTTTGACACATTTGACTTTTGACCATAAAACACACACGTTTGACGAGTTTAACCATGAATGAATGCTTAAGGTCTATTCACACTCAGCCGTAACGTGACATTGCCAGTGATGTAATGATTCTCGCTGACGTGAGCTCACCGTGATTTCAATTCACACTGGTCAGTATTTTTCTCCGTTCTGACAGTGTAGTTGTGTTCACGCGAGGTCGAAATGGAGAAATTTTCAGAGGATGAACAATTACTGTGTTAAGAAGGAGAAGAAAACGCCATGTATTTTGAATTTGACTGGTTGTACAGCACGGGATGTGCGCGCACAAATTCAATCAATCCTTCAACATTGATGTTCTTGGCCAAATATATCAAAATATTCACGGAATTACATAAAGACACGGCCGTGAAAATCGAAAAATATCGTTCCAAAACAATGCGATTATCACGGTACGGCGTCTTCGAGCGCACTGAGAACACGGCCACTTCCACGTGCCGGTCTAGTATGAATCAGTTCATCCAAATTCCAGGAAGAATCTTTTTAGTTTCGCCCGGCGGATCACGTGGTCACAGCACTGGCACGTCACGACCGAGTATGAATAGGCCTTTACTCAGTGCAATCAACCGGTAACACTTTTGTCGCCGTGTTTTTGAGGTGATAGAACAAATATGACACAGAAAGTACGCCTGCCTACTCAGAACAATTCGACGAATGACATATGCCGCAATGTTTTCACAGTGACATAGGGAGGTGCTATTGTCGTTGCCTACCTTCTGTCATCTTTATTTGGTTGTTTTGAATGGTTTTCCTATTTCGCATTAGGAAAAACAATTCAATCACCTCACGTGTATTTGTGATTCGGTTCGTTAAGAGCGATAAATAAAACAATATAATTGGAAAAATAACTTTATTCTGGTAGATAACGTAATGTGGTACATTTGCAATATAGTGTTATGAAGAATCAGAAACCGCCAAGGGAGGTTTCTGAATAATAATTTCAATACACGATCATAAGGAAACTACCAAAAACCCATGATACCACACTCAACAAACATTCAATAATAAAAATGTATGTAAAGGGTACAAGATTTTGTTAATCAAACATATAATTCTAAATAAACATTGTATTATTGTGTTTAAATAAATTATTTCAAAAAAAAATTCTAAGTAAACATCAATTTGCAAAATTAGCCTATATAATAATGAAAACAAACATTTATTTCACATGAGAAAAGGCTGTATGTATATGGTAATCTAATAGCTAAACATAAAATTCTAAAAAATAAAATAAAACAATTCTATCACAATCTTGTAAAAATGTTGACTTCTCACGAGGCGTGGCACGCTAGCGTGAGTCTTGCTTGCGTGGAATTGCGTCTGCCTGAACGAGGTGTCGTGAGCTTGTCTGTGATGTCATCGGGACAGCGACACCTCCACGATTGCCCATGACCGACATCAAACACGTTTGATTTTCGGACGTGGACACGACAATCGGTAGCCAGGCATAACCACGTAATGTGAGGAGAAACACGTTCTAAGAGAAAATCAAACTCATCTTTAGACATGGATAGCAAATTTTTAAGATCCTCAGGGAACTTTTGTGATCCCCCGAGTTTCTCCTTGAACCCATCTACTTTCTGACAAAATAACGCTTATTCTTCCAATTTTTCATGTTCACATAACTTTCTTAGCCTTTTTGCTACCATCGCATTTAAAACCGAACTCAAAACCTCACAACTTCATGTTCCGTCTTAGTCAGGTACAAGGAATTAACTGAAACTGAATTGTGAACCATGTGAACAGTCCACGACTGCTGCTGGTTCGCGTTTCATCCCCCACTCCAGCCAAGATTCACGACAGCAAAATCGCAAGCGTGCCACGCGGTCTTCTTGCCCAGTGAGAACCTAGCTTAAAATAATTACTGTCGCGCCACTGCCGCTCTCCCGTCCATACCGACAAACGGTAGACGCGGCTTTCTTTCAAATTTGCTGCTGCCTTCAATTTTGATATCAGACTGTAGATGAAATGTAGTCTCGACAACATCAGCAGCAAGAGGAAGGCCCACAAACCCGCGCTACTGCTATATCGAGTGGATCTATCCCCGATAGCACGAATTATTCATTAAATATCTATTCAATATTTAATAATATTTTTCTCTTTTCTTTTACAATATCTAATAAATATTTGTAATATAATATTTTTTAAATTAAATATTTATTCAGTATCTTTTAAATATTTTAAATACAGTATTTCTTTTGTAATATTCATTCAATATTTTCTTCTCAATCAATGGAAAATATTAAATCTCCAATATTTAGAAAGTATTCCTTAAATATTTTCGGCTACGGCGCATGTGCGTGCGATCCCGAGCGACCAATGGCATAATAGCAAGCCGGCCTGAACCTGCGCAGACCCGTTTGCCGTCATCCATTTTGCCTGTGACTTTCACTAGGGTAAGTTTTTTCGATAATTACATAGCTTAATTTATCTGATTAGTAAACATAATTGTGCCAGTTGAGTATAAAGGTATGCATAAGACCATGAATAACTAACCTTAAAGTGTAACAGTTATTTGGTAATGGTGGATTTATCTAAGAATGGATTCGAAAATTATATTCATCCCAATGAAAAGTCATATAATCGCAACTTGATCGAGATACATCAAAAATGTTTTTTTTAAATATCTCAATTATTATTATTATGTTTGTCGTAGTAGGGGGTAGATCAGCTGGAACTATTTTAAAATTTTTAAGTTCAACAGCGAAGTTGAAAAATTTTAACTGTCGAAAATGCTATATTTTTGTCTCTTGAATTATAATATAAAATCACAAAATATTTATGGCTGAATTAGCCCCCTTACTAAAAAGTCACATTTCAACAAAATCAATATGTGGTCTATTTTCAAAAACCTTTTCTTTAAAAGTTAGTCAAAGGATCATCTTGTGCCCATGGACCTTTTTCATCAAGATATCTAAAATAACATAAGGTAAGGTGGGGCAAGTGCTGCCCAAAAAATTAAAAGTTCAAAATCGAGATCACAGAAAAAATACTTAAAATGTTTTATGGATGATGCATTTTAACCAGAGAGTAGCCTATAGTGTTCTCTACAAAACTGAATATTTTAGATTGAATTAGAAAATTTACAATTTACCAAAAATGTTGTTTTTTTATTAGGATGACAATTGCTGCTCTTGTCCCATACAGTCGGGGCAAGAGCGTAAAATCCATTACTGTAGTTAGTTTTGCTAAGAAATCAAAACGAGGCAAGAGCAATCATCTTTATATTATGGATAATTGGTTAGACACGAAAAATAAATGTTATCCTGGTCAGAAGTTGAGTGATGATCTTAGAAAGGGACTGATAACTTTTTGAAATGATACAAAAATACATTATCGATGGATAACACTCTTGTTTTTATTTAAGTAATAAGAATTTATCGTCACTTATGTATTTAAATTGCCAAAGTAACAAACAGTTTTACATTAAGTATGAATCCCAGCTTTAACAAAACCACTTCGAAGTATTTCAGGATTTGTTTCTCTCCATATATCTCCAATAAGTTTTGAAAAAATATTCTGCGGCATCTTAATACCCACGTTCTTACGCTGCCATTCTACTAGTTTAGCATCCCATCGAGTTTTTAGGGATTTGAAAACACTTAAATCAAGTGGTTGTAAAATATGACTGGTATGTGGGGGAAGTTTTAAAATTGTTATCTGGTTGTCGATAGCAATTCTAACAACTTCTACACTTAAATGAGTCGCATGACCATCGTAAATTACTAAGAGTGGTCTTTCTGGAGGCAAACACTTAACGAAACTTTTTTCAAAATAGTTTTTAAAAACTGTGCTTTCCATCCATCCGTTGGCGGTTGCTGCATATGTCATTTCGGGAAACTCGCTACCAGGGGGTGCAAGCCACTGATCCCAGACGTGCTTGCCCTTGAAAATTATTAAGGGAGGCGCCTTTTCTCCGCTTGCGCTGCAGCACATTAAGACAGTGGTATTCTGTTTTCCATGCCCACTTGTTGTCCGTGTAGCTGGCAGTCCCCGTTGCCCAACGATTTTCGTTTTTGAAGGGTCTGAGCAAAAACTGCTCTCATCTAAGTTCCATATCTAAGATGGTTTATCCTCTAATCCAAGTTCTTTGATTGTATTTTCTAATAAATCGAAGTACTGGTAGACTAAAAACGGTTCAACATTCTTTTTTCGGGCAAATTCGACGCTTTGAGGTGTTTTAATAGAAAGCTTGTGACGACTTTTAAAATTTAAAAACCAGTCTTCACCTGGTTTGTCATTTTTAAACTGCGTTTTAATTTTATTCATTTTAACGTAATCTTCCACTATCCCGAGCAATTCCTTTCTGGTTAGACCGAATCCCCACTTCTCCATACAGCGGATACAATCTGTCAGACACGTCTCCTCTTCAAAACTGAGATCTGTCCTTCTACCATAGGTTGAACTTTTCTGACCTCTGCGCCCTTTTACATGGTCCGAAAGTGTATTTTTTTGGAATATGATACATCAAGCTAGCTCTGTAAATACTCATTTGTCCACTCTTTACAATGTTTACAGCAGTCCTTAGATCTTCTTTTGAATATCCGGATCCTCTCTGAGATTTGCGAATATAATTGCGAACCATAATTTAATTCTGAAACAGAGGGAATATTTCAAAAATACTGTTGGGGCAAGTGCGTTTTATAGACTGAACTTGCCCCTTTAAAATAGGCCGCTCTAGCCCCTGTACAAAAAAATCACAGGGCAAGTGCAGCCTATCAACAAAAACTGTTTTATTGAAAATAAAAGCAAAAATATCGTTATCACTAGGAAAATGATAGAACAATAAGTGTACTTACCATAAATCAAAACTGTAACTCAAAAGATGGCCTTGATATTGACGGATGTATTAAACGTAACCTACTTGTTGCTGGACAATAATGGCGAATAAAATTTCGCGTGTTTGTCATGAACATATTACCGGTCGCTGATCTCTTCTGTTATTTTACAAAGTTGAGATGAATTGGGTAGATGAACGATCCATAGATGGTAGCACAACTGACTGATATCCGGGAAATTTAAACGCAAAAGCTGCACTTGCCCCGTAAATGCTCTTACCCCACCTTACCTTACCAAATTTTCTTAAAAATAACCAAATCTATAACTATCAGATAATCAGATATCAGAAAATGTTGCTGCATTCTAGAGCTGCTTTTCAGATGAGCTACTCGAAGTAACTCAGCATGCTCATGCATCAATATTGTTCCACTACATTTTATATTCCCATAAATACACTGGAAAGCAGCTTGTGTATTCAATAGTACTTCATAATTAGTAAGTTTGTTTTTTTCAGAGGAGTGCACTTGCAAGATGCAGAAGAGGCTTAGAATGTTTTTTAATAATATTTTTCTAGCAAATTAAACCATTATACCTAGAATGAATTTTCTTTATAAACCCAAGTTTATATAAGCATTCCTACAGATTTTTCTAAAATAACCAATGAAGAATTTTCTATATATACTGAAAATATGTATCAGATTGATGCTTGAAAATTCATACATATTTACGAAAAATATTAGATATTTCACCAAAATATAAAATTGATATTTAAAATTCTTTCCTCATATATAGATTTGGAAAAAATATCGCAAAAATATATGAATTATATATGCTACAAATATCTATAGTGAATATTTCATAAATATATAAGAAATATATTTATTAAATATTAAAAAATCTGTGGCTACAAATATTTAACAAACATGTTTTACAAATATTTAATAGATATTTAATGCTATCGGGGATTGTAGTTCCCCGTGCTCTAAGCACTACAATCTGATCTACTATGACTTCGTTCCAACAAAGCCGTGTACCGTACAGTGGACCGTCATGAGCATGCGCAGTACGTTTTAAGTGACCCTAAAAACGTACTGCGCACGCTCATGGCGGTTCACTGTACGGTACACGGCTTTGTTGGAACGAAGCCTATATGAACTGTGTACAAAATAAAAACAAAAATTTTCCGGTGCTAAAGTAAACCAAACATGCATCCAAAGGTATAGAACAAAGGCCATCCACAAAGAAAGGGAAAGAAAAATAACTCCTGCGCAGTACTAGCTGTTTGGAACCACAATTATTACTACGTTTTTCAATGGGTAGGCAGCAGCGGTGGCGTTGTAATAGACGCTACCAATCCGTCGCCGTGCGCTGCGCGGATTCGAATCCGGTCCCAACAGATTGTTTCTCTTGGCTATGGATGTAGTAATTATCGGTAGGTGGTAGACGGTCTCGGACTGTTAAACGTGGAGGTACCACCTGGCGGATCTGTAAGGTGTTGCCAGAATGCGTGCATGTTCCACGGACATGTGTTTTTCGCTAAAGTCCGTGTGGTGTCTCCCCCTTTCTCTGTATCCCCCTATAGCCCCACGATACGCTTGGGTGTGCATATATTCTGGTATACTGTAAAAACAGTTTATGATGAGAAAATTTTTCAACGTTGACCTAAACCTGTTTTATGTCTGATGATAACATATTGTACAGGTAGCAGCCAGCATATTCATGTGATTCATATTGGAAGCATGACATATTTTTTGATTTTAAAATTATCTTTTTGCCGTGTGTTGTAATTATGCCTATCCTTATGGGTGATATATTTTTTTAATTCGAGTGTATGAAAGTTAACAATTTCAAATGATAGAGCGACGTAACAGTCAGCTTTTTTTATTTCCTGACCGTCTCACGTCGTGACTCCAAATACCGAAGCTTGTAAATGATTTTGATTATTATTTTTTTAATACCTACTGAAACTCTGTGTATGTCAGCTGACTTTCCACACACAGACATCCCCCATAAGTTATCACTGACTGTGCCAAACATTTAGTAGGCTTCCTATGCCTAAGAATGATTTGAGCATTTTGATTGCATATAATGATCTACATAGTTTTTCAGTATATTTCATCGACATCTTTGATGCAATTCAGGTTGTTATCAAAATGAACCCCAATTTTACGTAGTTATTTGATAACACATGTACATTGAAATTATATGTACTTGGAGTTGCACCCGGATGGTGGACCTCGATATAAACGTTTTTTCAAAATATATATTACCTTATTATAAGATGATCGTATATTTGTATTAGAGTTAACTTATTATGGATGTTATCCTTGTATTATAATGCAAACAGAATCATCTTACCTAAGTCGCCGGTATCATCTCATAGATCAATCATATACGAGTACATTAAAAAATGATAGGACGTAGGATACTACCTTGAGAGGTTTCCATGTTTATATTATATCTGTGAGTCATTGCATTCTTCATTTTAACTTGAATTATTTGGTTTTGCAAGTACGAAGTGAGCGTCTTGTTCTGTTTGCCGCGTAAGCTTATTGCGTTAAGCTTATCTGACAAAAATAATGTTACAAGGTGCGTGAAATGCTCTGGAAAAATCAAATGAAATTGTGACTACAAATTGGTTATTATCTAGTAGACCATATAATATATGGCCTGTGCGAAGTCAACTAAAGCTGTTTCTGTGTCTCGATTTATTCAAAAACCGTGGAAAGAGGGAAGAATGCCACAGTTTTCATATCTACAACTTTCAGTATTATTTTTGAAAGCACAGTAAAGATATAGGCCTAAAGTTTTAAATACGGTTGATATTATCGAAATCAAACATGAATAAATATCTTGAAACAACCACATGTAGCATTACGTTGATGTAGATGGGGAAGTCAACATTATCGAGCCACGTTCCAGTTTCCAAAAATATTATTTTTAAGCCATTATTATACAAAGATGTACAAAAATTAGCGATATATTTTGCGTTTATGGCTAGTCCGTCTCTGATGGTGTACTAAATGAGTAAATAGTTTTCGTTGGATAATATCGTCGCCTAACACAGCATAACTTGAAACTGACAAACGTGAAAATTATTTAAGAAAAACGTATTTCCAACAACTTCTCCTCCAGAGGAAACAGGTGTCTCGTAAATCTTAGGTCAAATACAATAGCGTCAGAGATAGTTCCTGAATTCTTGCCCCAGTTTGGGAAACACCATGTACATGACTAAACTAACACAAAACCATCATGCTAAGTTACAAATAAGGAGTGTCAAATATATGAAGGAATATGTTGTAAATTCAATTCTTACGGTGAGATAATTATGATTCTTAGTTATATACTTACCATCTCCAATCAATCAAATGAATGAAACCACTTTTCTCTAATTTTGTCCATAAAACCGCCACCCCCTCCCTCCCTTTGTCTGACCCCCAAAAATTTTTCTCTGCATCTGCCCTTGGGCCACATAGAATAATTTTCTACACGCCCCGCGCAAGCTTAATCCGGAACTGGGTCCAGGGTGCAATTTGCATGCCAGACCACCTCCAATAATACATACTTTTTCAGTATTAGCAAAAAAGCAGATATTTATGTTAACCTGGACATGGAATAAGATCACAGATGTATATTGAAAAATTTATTAATGCTTTGGCCTTGGTAGTATTTTTCAAAGTACAATTTAAAACAAGAGACTGAAATAGCAGAACCGTAACAAATTTCCCAACCCACAAATGTGATTTTGTCCAACCCCATGATAACATGGACATTACTCAGTGAGACAACTAAACAAAAAGTTTCATATTACATGAAAACCCAAATATTGGATATAATGCCTTTAATGGATGAAACTGAACAAATAATTCTCCAATCTTTATCATCTCAAAGAGTTATAATGTTATGTTGATAAAAAAAAATTATTTATTTTTTTATTTATACATCAATAACTTTTTGCATATAATCCTATTTTGTAACATATCCTAATACTAAAATTAACGTCACTGGGCAGATTCTGAATGCTTCCTTTTCTTCTTCTTTTTCTTCTCAGCAACAGAGTCGTCCTGCACCTCTGCTTCAATTTGTTCTTCTACCGGTGCTCTTTCTTTCTTCACTTTCTTGTCCTTCTTCTTCTTAACTGTATGGGCGGTTTCATCTCCACCCTCTGCTTCCTCTTTGATTTCAGATTCATCCAAATGTTTCTTCTCTTTCTTGACCTTCTTTGGAGTTTCTACAGCTTCCTCAGCACTTGGTTCTTCCTTGTTCATTTTTTTTTCTTTCTTCAGCTTTTTCTTTGAAGTCCCTGTAGGTTCTGCCTCCTCTTTCACCTCAGATTCAGACATTTTCCTTTTACTTGTGGAAGGAAGAGTAGAATCACCAGCTTCTGGGTACTGTTTTATTTGACTCACTCCATGGTATTTTTCAAATTTAGCCTTAGCTTTTCCTGTCCCACTGATCCTTTTAACATTCCCTTCTTCCAACTGTCTCAACTTTGATTCTAACTTTGCCTTATGTTCCAGCCCCAACACTGAAGAACCATCTTCACCAAGAGCATCTACACGAGTTGCTAATGCTGCTTTTGCTGCTAGCATTCTTGCTGCTTTGCCTTTGTTCTTTGTACTTGTTTGACCTATCATCTGAGCATGATAAATAATACCATACTTTGGAGTGTCTTTCTTTGCTTTGAGTGCTCTAAACAAGGCTTTTTCGGCACCCAGAATTTGCACAGTGGAAGCGGGATGTTTAGCAAGATTGATCAGTGATCCAGCATGAGCAATCAGCCTAGCTCCTACCATATCTCCCACAAGTATGCTCAAGTTTGGAGCCATTGCCATCATACGAGCTTTTAAATAGTCATACAACTGTGTACGATAGTTTGTTATATCAATGATTTGATCACATAGATTTTGTATGTTTAGGATATCATCCTCAGCAATCTCTGTACCCATTGAAATCTCAGCTGCTTCTTTGACTTTCTCTTCGATTTCCTCTGGCAAAATATCAGATAAATCTGTAGTAGCTGTATTCTCCCTTGTGCCAATAAGCTTTACAGTTTTAGCAAATGCAACATTATCAGTGATAATTTTGCCCAATTCAGGAAAATGCCATCCATACCATTCTCTGCATCTCATGTTGTAGTTGTTCAGTTCTTTGTCCAAATCATCTAGTAAAGAAATTGCCTGTACAATCATTGTATCTACCTTATCCGGAGAGAACTTCAGTTTGTAACGAGAGAGTGAATGAGCTAAACCTAATGCCATAGCAACTAATTCTTTCCTTGGTAATCCAGAAATTAAATTTTCCAGCTGTGATCGAATACATTTCATTAGCTCTTGGACAGCGCTATTACTGATGCACTGTAGATCGAATTTGTCCTTTATTGCTATACCTAGTTTTGAATCTGCTACTAAAAGTTGTTCTTGCAGATCCTTGTCTACATACTTCTTTAGAACTTTTTTCAAGCTCTTCGACAGTTTTCCTTCTACTGCTGCAGTTGTTGCAGATAGTGCTTCGGTAGTATCAGCAAATTTTTCAAAATGCTTCAGTTTTATTATCCTGGATGCCGTTTCTGGACTTTCAAAGGATTTGTAGAGATTTTCAGCTTCCTTTAGTTTCTTCTCATCCAGCAGCTTGAATAAAGCGTATCCCGCCGGAGTTTCGAATAGCACAAGCATTTTTAAACTCTTGAGAAACTAATTTTATGTACGTATGTTTATAAAATGATGAAAAAGTCTAAGGTTAACCACATGGAAAGCTATCGCGCAAGTTTACTCAGTGTCACCCACAAGTGTAACCACAAAACATATACACGGAAGTGTCACCAGTGGCAGATCCACGAAAAATGGTGGATCAGTATTAAGCCGCTCCCACACGACCTGGCGAATGCCTTAAAACGTTGGACACATAGCCGTTCGCCACGTGTGGCTGACGGATTGCATGTGTCCAACGTTCGCTACATGGGCTCTTGTCGGTAAATTTGACCCGCGTCAAAGGACGTTACAACGTTGGAAGCATTGTTCGTTACGCTCCAAGACGAGATGACATGTGTTTGGTGGTTTTAGATTGGAACCAGTAGCGGCGACAAACAGTATTTATTTGTTTGCTGTGATTGTGGTGAATTAGTAGTATGTGGGAAGTATTTTGATTTGAATACCTACCTATTCATAATAATGTATGTTCCGTAACTAACTTTTGAGAAGAATGAATTAAATTAGTATACATACAAAGTATGGCTACCATAATAGCAATTTTTTCATACCGCTAATATTTTGTACGCTTCGCAGGTGAGTTATGGCTGGTCTAAGGATATGTATTTTAGTAAATTATAAATTATCAAGTGCTTACACAGTTGTCTTATTATAATGTCCTGTTGCAATGCAAGACTAATTGAGAAATATATTGAAAGTACTATCAGGATTTTAAAAAAAAAATTCTGTGTTATGTACCGCGGTTATAATATGGTTCAAGATGACATACGGGTTGATGACGTCAGTTAGACGAATCGCTTGAACGCGTTGGTTTTAAACGCGGTTTTGTTGCAAGTTGTTTATTTTAGAAAATCGCGTATATAATCTCTGATTATTTTTATGATCACTTAATAATGGGTGCTTTTTCGTCTACAACTGTGTATGGAAAGTTTAAAAAAAAAACTTTTCATAATATTCATGGGAGAAATGTTTTTTTTTCAGAATTTTTTTTAATGATGGAACCATGGCTTTGGAGCTATGATAACTTTCAATTCTCTAAACTTTCCCGCATGTCAAAGAAAATATTTATTGATTCAGCAGAAATGATGAAAAAAGATATTAGCAAAACTGTATACAGGTGGACATCATCTAGTGAGTTTATATGGCCATATTTTAATACCCGGCAAAATTCTAACTTGTCACATTTCAAATAATAACCAGAAATATAAAACTACTCTTGAGTTGGGTAAATACCACAATTTTGCGGTGATAACTATGACATATAACAGCTGATTCGTGACGTCACGGATCCTATAACCAAACTAATAACTATACTCGCATGAACGGATTGGTAAATACCAACCCAAAATGGTAAATACCATTTCCATTTGGTTATCCGCTTGAATTTGATTATTGATCCTCGGTTCCTACTATTCTTACTATGAAAATGACGAAAAAGTACTGGAGCTTTCGAAAATTGATACAGTGGCGACGGAGTTATCGTCAAAAAACGGCCAAACTTCGTTTTTCGACATTTCTGAGGCTTATGACAGACTTAAGTTTTGGTCGCTGAAGACAGATCTGAAATTATTTTTCGGCGCTCGAAAAAATTGTTTCATTGTTTATTTTGTATAATTTTTCCTTCAGTTGTAAAGGCTCAAGCGCGTCACTGACACCGATAATAGACGTTGGCGCTACCTTGCGTCGAATGTCCGAGACTAAAAAGTTCATCCCATCGTGTAGGAGTGCCAATTGTGGGGTGTCGAACGTTGTACACAATATTGGAGGTATCGTGTGGGACTCGCATTATGCATGAGTGTTATGTGAGTGATGGTGGAGTAGAAAAGGGGGCGCGGTTTTACTAGGGAAACTAATGAAAATATAAACGATGAATCTTCACCCACTACTTAATTAAACAAATAAAATTTGTAATAGAAGTCAAGTAGAAATCTGTGTTGTTTGCTCTACTCGGACGTTCAACTCATTTCGCAAACTAGACTACGGTGTTACTTGAAAAGGGCGTGGGTAATGAGGCACGAGATGAGTTTTGTTCCTTGGTGATTAGTCACGTGATAAACAAAGAAAAATTGATCTTAAGAATCATGAAAATGCACAACCTTGTATTATCAACCGTATAAACTAGTTAAAACATAAATATAGAAAAACCCTTTTTTTATTGCTCTAAAGTTTATAAAACGGAGGAATACTGCTATAATTACCACCGTTGTGGATTAGATTTCCGAATATTTTCGTTATGTAACGAACGAATGGTTATGACAGCAATTTATTCTGACATATTGAGTTATTGACAATTAGCAATTAGTGACAATTTAGGATGAATATGTAATAAATGGATCTGTATTTTCTGGCACAAAACTTATAAAATCAATTGCATTTTCAAAAGATCGTTGGCTGAACCCACTGTTTCATCTCTTTCAATTAATTAACCATCTTAAGCATTTATTTTCTTTGTCCTTCGATATCTAAGTACTGAAGTGAAATTAATTGTGTTGAAAAGTTGCAAATACTCATTGACAAGTGATAACAGTTTTATTAGTCATCAACGTATGTTGATTTTAAAAGTAAAAGGCTGGCAATAGGGATATCGCTCATTTATGAATATGGCCAAGAATCCCCAGGAAGTGGTTTTCGAGGGGTGGCTTACAAAATCACCCCCAACTAAACGAATATGGAGAGCTGTAAGTATATGATAACTGCATTGTAGCATTGACATTGAAAACTAAAGCAAATAACAAATTAATGATTCATAGGCTACAGATAATGATTGTAAATATTCTATTATGTGCTTTTAGAAATGGAGACGTCGTTGGTTCTTGTTAACACATTCTGGTGAACTCCCAGGTCAATACATCTTAAACTATTACACAGATAGAAACTGCAGAAAACTGAAAGGAGTGATAGACTTGGATCATTGTGAACAGGTAGATCTAGGCCTCAAATTGGATGAAAGGAAGCTGAAATTTGATCATGTATTTGATATAAAAACTCCAACACGTACTTACTATTTGGCTGCAGATACTGAAAATGAAATGAGGTCTTGGGTAAACTGCATTTGTAGAGTGTGTGGATTGAAGTCTACTAGTGAGGAAGAAGATGGTAAATATTGATTCATCTTTTAGTTTTATACAAATAATTTAGACTATGTATATATGGGTGTGCCCAAGATATTTAAAAAACAGTGAAATCCCCCATTTTCTGTATATAAGAAAAGAGATAAAACATAACTGACCTGCATGGATGTCTTCCTTCTGCACCACTGCTCTTAATATGTTTTGTAAAAATTCAGTATTACCTAAAATATAATTCAATCATTTAAGAGGTGTTGATCTATACAACTGCTCTTAATATTTGTAAAAATTCAGAATTACCTAAAATATAATTCATTTATTTAAGAGGTGTTGATCTTATTCACTTTGGGCTTTTAGGTGGTTGTCCTCCAGAGATTGAGATTATTGAAAATGAACCAGAAATTCAAAGATTAACATCTTTAAATAATTATAATGCTACTCCTCCTATTTCTCCAGTTAGTACTAGCCCCTATATACCAATATCTGAGTGTATTACAGGAAAATCACCTGTATTTGATCCTAAGGTAAGTATCAAAATGACTACTACTTTGCAATAGTACTTCAAATATTTGTGTTGATCAGTATCCAAATTGCATTAATCTTTACAGTATAAAAATAAGTATGATATCAAAAAGGCAATAAATAAATCTCTATAGTGATATTGACAAAATAGCATATTGAAGATGAACTGATATAAGATTTATGCTCACACTGATACTCGACCAATATAGATATTTTAATGGTTGATATATTTGGTGTTATGGGCCTATCATCCATCTGTTTCTTTCTGTACATAATGATGATAATACTTCTGTTGGTTGCAACACAGAATTGAAAGAATTACTTTGAAACTTTTTTTGACAAAATATTGTCTTAAATAGCTAATCTTTATTTTAGGATTTCAAAACACTTCTGGAACACAACATAAAACATTCTTACTTCAGAACAGAAAAGAACAGAGGTCACAACAATGAAAGCTATGAACTTCCTCAACATAACTATTTGAACTGTATGAATGTTAGTGATCCAAGATTCTACGATTGTCCAAGGAAACTAGTGCCATCTGCACTACCTACAAAAGTAGCCCATGAGAAGGATAATTCACCACTACAGAGTCCTACAGACTCTGATAGTGTTTTTAATGATGAAGAATGGAGTCAGAATGCATCAGATTTGAGTAAGCTATTTTTATTATTGATACAAATTGATTGAAGCAAAATTAAATCTAAACAGGAGCATGCAATATCTTGAATACATCATTATTATTGTTATGATTATTAATATAATCACATATTTATAAAATAAGTAGCTCAAGCTAATTTTTGCCACACTTTTTATGTTATTTAGTTTTGTAAGCTTTATATCATAATTAAAATAGTTGTCTTAAGGTGGTCAAATATTGCTAAATTTTGTTGAAAGTTATAGATTTGTTTTAGTTATGTTTATACATATCATTTATAAACTGCAAATAAATTGATATTCCACTAACTTAACTAACTGTTGGTCCAGAATCATTTTTGATTGCATCTGTTTCATGGTAATGCCTATCTAAGGATATCATACTATTAACATACTTCTTTTTTGAAGAATTTCTGCACCTTTTTTAGGTACTTCACGTAATACGAAGCCATCAGATGGATCTGCAGATGTAGACTTAACTGCATTGTCTAAGAAAAACAATAAACCTGAAACCTCAGAAGTACCCATTGGTCCGCCACCTAGACCACCTAAGCCTCCACATATCCTTAACCTCACACCTACCAAAACTAGGTATGTCAACTTTCATAAAGATTCCAATGTTTGATAATGATTATGTTCTGTAATGTTATATGCAGGGTGTTTCATTGGGAGAGGGAGCTATTTTAACTGTGGATGTGATGATTATAAAAGACCCATGGTTGATGGGTTTTTATAATCAAGATACAGTAACACTTACAGATTTTGGCCATTTCTTTATGACCTCACAAGTTTTAAACCTCCTGTTATATTTTTCTGAAACTTGGTATGTATACTCAGCTTATGTTATCAAATTGATTATGATACAAACAACAAGAAATACAGCATTTGATATAACAGTTTCACCCAAAAACAACATTGTGTGTGAATTTCCGAATTTTGTTCACCTATTTGGAAAGAGCCCAGAAACCTCATTCTAATGTCCCACTTCTGTTATTTGAGCAGACGATTTTGTATAAGCTGGAAATACTAATCTTGTTAATGTTTGAGTACAAGGCTGGATACTTTATGGTCTATTAATTTTATATTTCACTATTTAAGACTATATACGCCACATATCTTATACCTGCATCACATCATTAGATCAACAAAAAACATAAATAACAGGTCTGTATTAAGAACCAAAGGTTGGTGATAAGCTCCCATGCTTGTCCACATGCATTGACAGATCTCCTTTACGGTAGTAAATGTTTCACTCGGCTGATCTTTTTCAAAACAATGGCATATATTCGATTTGTTTATCTTCCAGGTGACAGTATGTTACTGCCATAGTTCAAAAGTCCCGTAACATGAGCGAGATTGCGTGAAGTCATCATTCCGAATTTTAAGATGCACCATTGTAGTAGTAATGAAACAGCCTGTATATATATATCAAAATCATAAATGATTCACGAGATTTGATGTTCCATAAAAGTGGAGAGGAAATTAGTACTTACACTATTTCTCTAGTGATTCTGAAAACGACAGTATCTTATGAAATTTTATTGTTTTTGTATCCTGTTTAGCAAAATCTCTTCCAATTTGTAACATATTTTACAGTAAAGATATGGAAGAGGAGACTTCAAAGAGTAAAGAATCTCAAAAGAAAGTACTGACAGACGATATGTACGATTTTCCGCGATCGCATCATATTGAAAGCGAGGCCACCCTGCACAGAAAGCATTGTTACAACAATGCTGCACCTGTGAGTTATGGGGAGGGTACTATTTTTAGATATGACATATCACCCAAACCTAGTACCAGTACTGGTATGGTAAGTGTACATTTCATTCTTTAATTTATCAGCAGGAACAAATAATGCCAAAGTCAACATCTTTAATTTGTTTTTTATTTTACGGATAAAGTGCCAACATTCCTTTGCGAACGTTAAACTATCACTATTTCTTTTATTTGTTCTGAATCTAGTTCTTGTTAGATTCAACTACAAGGTATTTCACATAAACCCATCATGGAGATCAGACTAATGTAAGACTGAATGGCAAGTAGACCACATCTAGACACAGCTAGAATCGACGCCATGTATCGGTCACGTGGTGACTGGGCCTTTAATTCGTGGCCTGAGATCTATACAATTTTAGCTGCGATTTACTGTCTGCAGTGATCGATTCTAGTGGCAGATGGCGCTTCGCGCTGTCTTATTTCAATAGATCTCACACTTTGGATCGTGTATAGTTGCTATGCTGAGTAGCCAAAAAGCTTGAAACATTTGTCCTTGGTCGGATAGATGCAAACAGAGCATTTTTATAACCTAAGACTCACCTTGAAAATGTTGACTTCCCTTTTCGTGATTTTCAGATTTTTGTTTCATTGTAGGTGTTTCAGTACGATTTAGAGGCAACCGAACTTGTGTTACAAGATGAACCGGCGTCACCTGCGACCAGTGCCCATTCGCGTACCTCGTCTACGCACGCGTATTCAAACCTACCAAGTCCTCAACTTATGCCTCCACCAGCCGTCAATAGGTATGAGGCTATAATTTCTGCAATTACGAGCCCCTTACCACTTCAGTTGCCCCACTTCAAGATTTGTACCAAAATATGCCTTTATAAACTAAACATGACGAAACTACTTACTTCTAAAACAATTTATTTTCTCAAAAACATTTTAGATACACTCTAGTCGTAAAAAATACATATTTGAAATCACTTAGACCTATAACTAATAGAACATCTGAACAAATAAACAATGTGCGAATAAATGTTAACAAAGCAACAATTGAAAGATTACCATTGGGTAAAATCACCTTTATTTTTTATTACGGCTGAAATTCTTTGAGACATAGTGTTAACCAAGTTTTGACAAAAATTTGGTGTAAAACAATCCCATATATCTTGAAGCTTTTGTCTCAGTTCGGTGATTGTACGAGCAGGATGTTGTCGTAGAACCTTTTTCATCTCGTGCCACAAAGTTTCAATAGGTGACAGATCTGGACTGCTAGAAACCCATTTCAAAAGTGGTACATTATTTTCTTCCATCCATTTTATAGCCTTTTTTGAGGTATGGCACGCTGCACCATCTTTCTGAAACACAAAATCTTGTGTGTGTCAAACATTCTTCCATCACTGGTAAAAGCGATTCTTCTAAAATTGCCAAATATTTGTTTGTATCCACATTTCCATCAATAAAAAGAAGTTTTCCTACTCCTTTTGATGACATACTGCCCCAGACCATAATGGATGCTGGAAATTTCACTTTTCTCTTCAGACAGTCAACATGGAATGCTTCATTTTTTTGTCGAATAACTCTACTGCGACTGTCACAAACACAAACTTCGAATCGGGCCTCAACACTCCATTGTATTGCACACCATTGTTGAGGTGTCCATTGTCTATGTTCTTTAGCCCATCTAAGCCGATTTTTCTTTTGCGAGTTAATAGTGGCTTTTCTTTGGCCTATAAACAAGTTGTGCAACATTGGGGTTTTTACTTCACTTTTTTTATAAGAAAACTTAACTTGCAAGTGCTAAATCCCAGTTTGTGGGCCTCTCTATGAGTTGTGGACCTCAAAATTCTCCTTCCAACAGCGTCACTCCACAGAGCACTTAATTGTAAATAATTGGCACGCCTGTTTTTCACGATTATTCTTCTTAATGCTCTTCGGTCGGCATTTATGATATTACTTTTTTCTCACATATCGTGGATTAATATTAACTGAACCAGTTACGTTATATCTTCTAACAATATTTCTCACACTGTACCGCGATAAGTCTAACAAAGTAGCAATTTCTGAGTTTGATTTCCCAGAATTAAAAAATTTCATTATCAGTTTTTATTTTCTCACTAATAACCTTTCCTCTACCCATTTTGAAAACCTTAACTACCCAAAACTATTTTAAACGTATTCTGACAGCTGTGATTAATAAAAACAATTGTCATGGCTTTTATTTTTCACAGCCACCTATGCGTTATAGACTTATTTTGCATTGAAATGAAAATAGGTTGATATGCTGTAATTGCAAGATGTGTTATTTTTATGCTGCAAATTTGATTAGGGAGTGATAAAGTTGGTGTTTTCTACTATATATTATCAAGATATTCATTGTTAATATTGTAAACCTATAACACCCTGCTACATTTTTATTATTTGTGTTTGATAAGAAAAAACTAAGATTTCAATAGTTCGGCCAACTGAAGTGGGAAGGGGCTCCTAGTGTTATGGTTATATATTATGATGTGAAATTAGAGTTGATTGAACTGCCAATATGAGTCACTGTTTATTTAGTACCTCTGTCACATAATTTTCGATTACAGAATTCATTGTTGTCTGTAGTCCTGGTATAAGTATTATAAAAGTGGCGTCGAGTAGGTTGACTCTGAACTTCAGACATTCTTTTCCTGCCTTACCGGTGGTATACCTCGCAGTACTCACCTAGTCGGATGGAAGAACTTACGCACTATGCATAAGGAGCGACTACTACTAGGTTACGCCTGGTATCTGTACAAATGCAAGTCCCCTCGTATTGTGGATAGTCGCTCGATAGCAATGTGACTGGAACAATCTCGGTAATGAACTACCCAGGAATAAATTTGTTCCGTTATAATGATCACTTTGTTCCATCTTAAAAGGAGCAAAGTTTTAAGGGCAAAGGTAGAATTACCAGGGTTGGAAGGGTATCAATTTACTAAATAAAAAAAATGCATTTTTGTCATTTTTTCTCCGTCGGCAATGGACCGTTTTTGAAAAACTACATAGTTTTTCCGTCCTTGGCATAGTAAAATCCTAGCGGTACTAAGTTTTAGACGGGCTTTTCGTGATGTACATATAGCATCCAAAAAACACAATATCCAATTTTTGCGATTACAATACTTCCTTGCCCAGTCTCGTAGGAAGTGAAAAGCAAACAGTGCTGCTGCGAATAATATTTTCTAACTGTATCTAACCATCATAAGGTGCACAAACATGCCAAAAGCCTAATGCAATTATAACTGTGGTAACGAGTAACTACATAGATGGCGCTGGCTAATACATTTTGTTCTGTCATAATTGCCGCGAAATTTTATATATACATATTTTTTTTAGGGAGTTGAAACCGAGACGTAAGCTGAGTGATTCTCAATCAAGTGCTGAGCCTCCATCACCAAGAGGAGCACCTTGCGTTCTGAGGCAGTTGAAGCCGACAACACCTCTGCAGGTAATCCTGACTTATACAAAAATTGAGATTCGTACAGATATTGGATAATTTTAGCTCGTTTATTTTTATCTGACGACCAACGATCAGTCGTGTTTGTTTTATTAAGTTTGCAACACATAAACATTTTTCTAAAAATTCTCGCATTTATCAAGAAAGGATGACTTTTTTTAACAACAACGTTTTGAAAATATCAATAGTTGTATGCAGGTGAGTTTAAATTCTTATTCCTAGCACTATTAATTACCACCATGTTAAATGTTAGCCTGTTCTAAATTTTCCTGACGATTTAATAATACTCTTTCCGAATACTGTACTAATAGAGTTTGCGATTTCAGGAAGTACATTCGCGCAAAAACTTCGTTACGGACGAGGAGCCCCGGAAGGTTCGCGCAGCTCCCAGTCCCACACCACCCAACTTGGGACGATCTCAGGACAGTCTTTTGTCCCAAAATGGAAACGAGCAAATCTACCACTACCTCGCTGGCAAAATGCAGTACCTGGACCTCGACCTAGAGGGATCAAACGCAGGTGGAAGCAATGCAGGGCCAACGGTTGCAAAGACTGCACCTGTCAAGCAACAGGAGGACACTGTGTATAAGAAAGTGGACTTCGAGAAGACTCACGCTTTCAATGTCACGAGAAGCGATTTGGAGAAGCTCAGGCAGGAGCCGGTCACGTCTTTCAAGAAATGAGACTGGCAGATATACAGGTAACTATATGCGTACAGTTTGCCAAATCTACCCTCTCCATACCACTTAATTCACTTTGTCTAACCATTGGATATTATATTTCACCAGAAGTCATACTATTCAATGGGCGGTAATTTAAAAAGCTAGAAGTATATTGCGCTAGGTTGGAGGTCACTAGTAGTAGCGATGGGGAGGCGAATCTAAGCAAGTACCCCACCGTTGGCCCATTTTGCCGAGCCCGAGTGTACCAACACTATACTCCAGATGTTAATTCTCTAATCTGTCGAATCTTCCTGATCTCCCAATAAAACTCAGGATGTCTGACCATTCCGGTGAGTAAACAACCAGAGAGTGGAATGCTGTCGTGTCCTCCTCCTGGCACAAGGGCATGTTGGATCTCTCCTCACCCATAGAACGGATACCTGTTCAGTCTGCAGTCACCGGTCAGACCGACGTTTGTCGGGGCCCTCTACGAACCTCTTGTGCATGTCTGTAGGTTCGCTACGCTTTTCTCGGGTCCCTATACACCAATTCATTCAGACCGGTGTTGACCTGGTGGCTGTTTATGCCCACCCGAGGTTCGGGACCGATCCAGGTGTTTCTGGCCCCCAAGTTTAGCCAAACGATCAGCCTTCTCGTTGCTCGGCACTCCGCTGTCTCCGGGAACCCAAAGCAGGAACACTTCTTTAGATCGGGCTAAACTCTGAAGGGCAGTGGTACATTACTGTACTATGGCCGACCTCAAGGATACAACTGCCTTCAAGACTGTCGGAGCATATGAATATGCTCCGCTCGGTGCACTGCCGAATCTCCTCTGAGTATGCCACCATTAAGATGGCAAATATCTCTGCCTGGAAGATCGTTGTGCCGAAGCGAAGCTTTCCTACACGCCTTTGCCTTCCAAGTATACTTTCGCCCCACTGGACCTGTTTCCTTATAAAATAATCCGTCAGTGAAGCGTACGAGACACTTAGGCGGGAATCAAGGGCGGATTCAGGATTTCGTCTAGGAACTTCTAGAATTTATCCTATTATTGCTCCTTAAATCCTTGTGTTCTATCTGTTCAATGCCAACTTGAAAAAAAAATACGGAAAGTGCTCGGAAATCCTCAGAATGGCAATATTTTATTATACGAGAACAAAAGAATTACGTGGCATTTATAATTATCTATCTATCTATAGACCATCTATAGATCGTGTCTTGAGACCGTCTCCATTCTGCCTATAGACAAATTGCGCAACGAGGTCTACTAGTGTGTACTATGCTTAAGGATTAATACTCTGAAATACCCGTTAAACAAATCAAGTAATTGGTGTAAATACTGACACAATCAAGCACTTCTGTTATATCAGCAGGTGATAAAAATATGAATAGGTATACTCAATTATTTTTTGAAATTCAATATAGATGTTATTCTTCAGACTTTCGTTGTCGAACTTAGATTTACGGCATAGTTGTTGTTTTCTGTTTTCGAATCGGTGTTGATCGCATGTAAAAGTGTTGGAAATCTTTGGAAAAAACTATATATGTTAGATCGTAATTATTTTGATAATGTATGTTTGTAAGAAACAAGAACAGGAATACAGGGCTGTAGTGCAGAAGCTCTGTGACTTAAACGAATTTCAATATAGCAATATAAATAGAAACATACGCGGGAAGAAATGCGGGACGTGTGGTATTGACTTTGAGCATCGATCGACGCATTTTCTGGACAGGCTACAGGCGCACCGCTAAGCAAATCTAATAAATGTATATTTCCAATGTAGGCGTTCATCTAACATATAGTTTAATCACATTAGCAAATTTCCCCGAAATAATTTCAAAGTCCGGTTTTATTGGTGCAAGTTTTCAAGGGCGCATTTTAAACATGGACGAATAAAATAGTTACACCAATTTTTGTGGGAAAACTATTTATTTGACAACAAAGAATGAGAAATCGTGTTTTTTGGGATTCAATCGAAAGTGTTGACAGGAACGAAAAAACTTTTTAGGTAAGATTTTCAGGTATTTGTGAGACCTACAGAATGAGACCACATGTGAAAAGATCCGACTAATAGCAACAACGCGGCAAAATGCAGGTTTTGGCACTTGTTGCTAATACGACGATAATTTTACGCAACTACTTGAAACGTCAAATCCGCAGGATACATACTTCTGAATAACATCAGCAAAATTGGAGTATAATGGACAAGTAGTTTTTTTGTGAATATCTAATTGTTAGTCCCAAAACACCTGTTTTCCAGACATCACTACTAGTTTATTGAGCTATATACAGGATTAGTTCAAAGAGCATTTTACAGCAAAATACACTAATTTACCTTGCCGATATGAATTACAAACCATTCTGAAAGATAAATGTTATTTTTATGCGAAAAACAAAGGTTACGTTTTTTTCTTCAAAGCAAATTCAAACATTTCGTATTTGTGAGTAATTGAGCAAATGCGCTACGATATTCGAAATACATACGTTACTATACACATTTTAAAATTTAAACATTTCGTATTTGTGAGTAAATGAGCAAATGCGCTACGATATTCGAAATACATACGTTACTATACACATTTTAATACAAAGCGGATGTGTCATCTTTTGTTGCGAGGTACTCACAAATACCAAATGTTTGAATTTGTTTAGAAGAAAAACGTAACCCATCTGTTTTTGAATAAAAATAACAATTATCTTTCGGAATAGGTTTCGATTCATATCGACAAGGTAAACTGGTGTATTTTGCTATAAAATGCCCATGTATATAACTCAAAAAAACTAATAGTGATGGCCGGAAAACATATGTCTTGGCATAAACCATTAGAAATTCTCACAAACTACCTACTTGACCAATCTACTCCAATTTTGTTGTGGTTATTTAGAAGTACCAATCCTACGAATTTGAAGAATTTCAAATATCTGCGACAAACAGTCGTCGTATTACCAACACGTGCCGAGACCTGCAGTTTGCCTCGGTTTTCGACGATAACTTTTTTGCTATTAGTCGCATCTTTTTACGTGTGGTCTCATTTATAATACTTAAAAATCTTATAACGAGAGTTTGATCGTCCCTGCCAATTATTTATATTGAATCTCAAAAAACACGTTTTCTCATTCTTTGTTCTCGAATAAAAAGTTTTCCCACAAAAATTGGTGTACCCATTTTATGCGTCCATGTTTTGAATACCCCCTTGAGCAACTTGCAGCAATAAAACCAGACTTTAGAATTATTTCGCAAACCAGGGGTATCTTCATCTAATATGATTAGACTTAATACTGCTTCGCTGCAAGACCAACCCCGAACAAAATCAGTCAAGCTTTGCACACTTTTCAAATTACTATTGACATAACATAAATCACGTTTTATGTGCAATCTGTATAGCTAATATATTGCTTAGATCGTAACAATTGTGCTGTAAACGTAAGTGATGTCGAAGAGGGACAAAGGATACCGAAAATCGCAATGCTCAGTTCCTATAGTTAGTATCCCTCTGTCGCCATGATGTGTCAGAAAGCAACACAATGGTGCGCGCCCCCCTCTAAATCCGCCACTGGCGGGAATGTTATTTCTCTATTTACCCATTCTTCCTTCGAAGTGATGATGAGTGAGAATTATTATTTGGAGAGTAAGTCTAAGGTTATACAGAGACAAAGATGTCAATTGCTGATCAGCTTTTGACGTCAATAGTCGGATGGTTGTGGGGTGATCATCGTTCCTTGAAAGGCTGATGTAGCTAAGTAAAAACAATTTTCTTTAAAATGAAAATGGAGTCTGTTATTACTTCTGAGGCATTAATGCGATTCTCATTGGCGAATTTAGGGCCGGCGCCTTGGGGATACGTAAAAATGTACTCTTTTGTGGTTTGATCACGACTTCAAGATGAGTCTCGAGGTTTTCCAGTGGTTTTGGAGAAACTTCGCCGAAACCCATTGCCCGTAAGGAATGTGCATCTTTCTTGCCACACCTAAAATACTGTTTTTCTTAGTTACTGACATGTATCGGATACTGACATGAGAAATGTATTACCATATTTTTTATTCTTCTTTCAGACAGTCAACAATATATAAGTGCAATCTACTCCCATAACCAATCGAGATACTCAGACGTGTACCAATATTGAACAAACTTGGGTTTTTCACTGACCCAACATCAAACAACTTTGAAATCAGAAGTAATTATAGGTTTTATCTATTGAAGTTGAGGCACGAAAAAGTATTATATATTTTTTTATAGGTTGCTTACTAATTCTCACCTTATAAGGCTGGAATGCTTGCGTTTCTCTAACTTCAGCTTATTTAAGTTGTAGTTTAGCAAGTGTATGAAGCGTTCTATGATTACTGAGTGCAATTTTCCATAAATGTATAGTTTTTTATGAATACTTGACCGTTTTTTATGAATTTTTACACCATTTTTATCTTTTTTGTGTTTACATAAATAGTATGTATAAAGTGGCACTTGTCCATATCATAACTGGTTGTATTTTGAATTAGACAAAAGACAATCAGTTGATAGTATTTGTGATATAAAAGTTCAATATCATCTTAATATATTTAATGTATATGAAGGGTATAATTTGTAGCAATATCTAAAAATATGTGCAAGCTTTATCTTCAATATGACATATAAAGGGTATCGTAATAGGTGCTTAGGGATCCAAATTTAGAGCCATTTCTGTTTAGCAATCGCTTGACTGGGCTTAGAAATATACTTGTGCATGTGTTATTTGGAGATCCAGGAAATTACAAAACAATTATCAATCATTTTAAGACGGAAGAACGTCTAGGAATTGTGCGAAGGTTCTACGAAAATTCAATTTCACTTTTTCATGAAAAACTATCTTGGAACAGTAAATCTTCACTGTGGGTATTCCACCAACAATATATTCTTTTGGCAACGTGTGACGAGGAAAACTTTGGAATTGTCACAGTCACGTTTTCCTGGTGTCTACGTGATGTCCGACGGGCTGTGAGATCATGCAACCTTGAAAGTAGTGAAAAATTGAGCCACAGTCGAGACAAAAAGTTACCGAAAATTTTAGTCGACGAATAGTCATCTGCAGAAACAGGAGAATATTATTTATAAAACATAACTCCCATAAACTAGTAATATAGCTATCGTTCGTCCGTCCACAAACAGCTGTTTCTTGATATTTGGCAACTCTCCAGGATGGTGTAGTGCCATCTATTCTAGATTCGACCACTGCGAAAGTGAAAAGAGCAAGATGATTGTTGGAAGTGTATACCAGTCCACATTTTCACCGCTGTGGCCGCTAGATGCCGCCGGTTCTGGTGCTGCAGTACATACGGTCTACTGGCCATTGAACACAGTAGTAATATAGCTAATATACAGTAGCGGAAAAAAGTTGGAGACATTTTTAATAATTTTTAAAAAGTGCGCTTAGTTTTTATTCTTTATTATTACGGACTATTATCTATAGGTAGCTTACAGTCTTGAAGATACAAATGACAATTTGTGTTTGCTGTGGTACTACAGACTAGCTTTAAAATACCTTCATATTATCTCATGAACAAAAATGAGACGACAGAAGTATGGGAACATATTTTATATTACAAAATTAAATACAACAACGCTACAAAAGATTTAAAAAATACTGTTTAGCTAATATTGGGTAGCATAGCCTTTAGCATTCAACACTGCCTGACATCTGCTGCTCATACCACACCAATTTTTTACAGACGTCTGTTGGAATATTCTGCCAAATATGTTTTACATGATCAAATAAATCGTTACTATTTTTAAAAATTTTTCTTGGCAGTTGTCTTTTAACATGCTCCCAGAGATGTTCTATAGGGTTTTTGTCCGGGGATTGCATAGATCATGTAAGAACATTAACATTTCTTAGTCTTGACCAGTCCTTTACCAATTTTGAGGTATGCTTGGGGTCATTATCTTGCTGGAATATCCATCGTAATGGCATTTTTTCTTCAACAGAGGGGAGCATGTGTTCACTAAAAATATCTTTGTAAAGTTTTTGATCCATTTTCCCAACAATTCAGCAAATTCAAGCCGAGCAATACGATTTTTTTTTTAAATGAGAGGCTTTTGCACTGGACGCCTACCAAAAAGCCTAAAATCCACCAAGCGTCTCTGCACTGTTCTGACAGAAAGATTCTCGGCACCCTTTTCTACGATTATTTTCAAAATCTGTGTGCCTGACATTTGATGATCTTCATGGGATAAACGTTTAATCTAGCGATCCAAAACATATAATCGTTTTTTTTCGGTCTTCCTTATTCACTAATCATTTTCGAAATCGTCCCTTTGTTCGTTTTTAATCTTTCAGAAATGTAAAACATTTCTGACAACACTTCTAAATAATTTAATTAATATCTTACATCTTTTGAAAATTCTTCTACTTTTGCCATTCTCACTGATGTTAATAATATCTACCGCACGCTATTGCGTGTGCTGATATTTCAGAGTATCACAAAACTAATAAATACGGCAAAACTGAAATGTTTCCATACTTTTGTCGTTACAAAAACTGTGGGATTTATAAAAACGCGTGTTTTTATTTTCAGAGAATTTGAATATTGATAAGATAAACCTTGTAGTAGTACGGGAACCAAAGGTAGACTTTAATATTTATATGATCTGTTCCTTCACAATTTTAATTTAGGTATATGAAATAGTTCATAATAATGTTAATATTTCTTTCCAAACCTTTGTCCGCTACTGTATACATTGATATGTTTATATCATTTTATTATTTTTCCAAAATTGATACAGTAGAACCCCGATTATCCGTGCTCCACGGGACCGAAGGTAGCACGGATAATTGAAAAGCACGGATAATCCGAACATTTATTTCATATATACCTACCATAAAAAGATAACAGAAACAAAAAATCCCATAAGTTCAAACTAACTTTTATATTGTATAAACACAAAAAAAACAGATTTCTACATAAATATTCTTTTACACTAAATACATACATAATAAAAATAAAAAAATCAATAGGTAGGTTACCTTGCATTTACCTAAAGCGAATTGTATTTATTTTAAGTACATAATTATGTTTTAGAATAAAAGTTAGTCACTTTGGTCTGTGTCAAAAGTCTTCGATTATTTTTAATCATCTGACGTATTTTGCGCAAGTTCAAAATGTCTACAAGGTCCGAAGATTCTTGTTGCTCCAAATAGTCTAGTAGAACGTTGGCAGCTTCCTCAGCCTCCTGGTTAGTTACTCTTTTGATTGATACCGTTCCATCATTCTCTTTTTCTTGACTCTCATTTTCGGATGAATCAGATTGTGACGTACCGGGCTGATTCAAAACTTGTTCGACAATATCATCGTTGCTGAGGATCTGATAACCTGGCTCATGTTTGTCACACTGTGCCCACCTCTCAACCTCGGTGTCATCAATGTCTTTAAATTCATCGGAGTTGCGCACTAATGCAGCTAGTTCAGCTATAGTAGTTTCTTCGTCTTCGGACTCCATGATCCTTTCATCGTCCTCTAGCGTCATTATTTTATGAAAAGCTCTTTTGAAAGTCATTTCTTTCACTCCACTCCATGCGTTTGCCACTGTAAAAATTGCGTCTTTGATCGTGAACGATTTCCAAAACTTAATCAGATCAACTTCATCCAACAAGTTCATCATAAGTTCTCTTCGGTAGAGCCGTTTCATTGTCTCAATAATACCTTGATCCATTGGTTGAGCGATTGATGTAACATTGGGTGGAAAAAAAAAGAACAAAGAAGTTTCCATCATCAGACCTTAGAGCTGCCTCATTGGGATGAGAACGAGCATTATCGAGAAGAAGAAGCGCCTTTTGTGGCAATTTTTCTTTCTTCAGATTAGACTTTATTTCAGGAATAAACTTTTTATGGAACCAATCTTGAAAGATGTCACAAGTTATCCAGGCAGCTTGCTGGTTATAATAATGAACTGGGAGATTATCCGGTTTCATGTTTTTAAAAGTCAGCTTTAGTTTATGGGTGCCGGACGCATTGGCACAACACAACACTGTTAACCGATCTTTAATTTTCTTATATCCCGGTGCACTCATCTCATTACTTGCAGCGAAGGTTTTTGTAGGTATTGCTCGCCAGTATAACCCTGTTTCGTCAGCGTTATAAATTTGAGAAGGTTGTAGATTATTTTCTTTAATTATGGTCTCCAGTTCATAGCAAAATTCCACCATCGCTTCTCCGTCGGCACTAAGCTTTTCGCCTTGAATGGTAAGCTCTCGAATTCCGTGACGTTTTTTAAATCGATGCAGCCAACCACTGGATGCATTGAAAGGTTCTTGGATTTTCAAGCGTTCGTGAAAAATCTCCGCTTGCTTAGCGCACATTGGACCAGATATTGGTACGCCCTCCGATCTTTTCTGCAGAAACCACTTGGAAAGTGCTTCATCGAGTTGTTGATAAGTCGATCCTTTCAATGATTTCCGTGCAGATATGTTCTTAAAAGAGTCAGACTGAGATATAAAATTTCGTAGTTTCACTTGGTTTTTAGTGATATCGCGTATTGTTTGCTTGCCAACATCATAGGTTCGTGATAATGATGCGACACTGTCACCCTTTTCACTTTTTCTTAAAATTTCTAGTTTCTGTTCAATCGTTAAAACATTTCTCTTACGTTTAACACTCGTTGCCATTTTGAAAACAAAGTCACGTGTTAAGAATATATTACAGCAGAGTAGCAACTTGTCTCGACTCTCATCTCTAGCGCGTAACTAAACTAAATTTCACACATTCGGTGCAACACGCAGCGGCAAATGAAAATCGAATGGGAAGATGTTTACTTAGGTAACGAGACAGTGCTTTGTCAAAGGCATACGTAGGGTTATTAACCGCCGATACTATACGTAATGGATGCACGTGTTGTCTATTCTGGTACATATTTATATATTTAAAGCAGTCATCAACCTCGAAGGCACCTTTTTCATTCCAACTTTCGATCAATCTTTTCATACCTTTTTTCAATGCAGGTAAAGGACTTTTATTGAGCAATTTATAATATTTATTATCACCTAGTGCGATTTCCATTTTCTGGATGTACGCGTCTTTGTTAATAATCACCTCAAAAATGCAATTTGAATAATGGGAAATCATGGCACGGATAATCCGCGCACAGATAATCGAGGTTCTACTGTGATTCTATTTCACAAACAATATCCTGAAGTTTCTATTGGACACCCTTTAAGACAAGATAGTTGCTAACATCTTACAGAAGAAAAAAAAGAAACTTGTCATTTATGTGAGTCAGAAAAAACTGCATAATGAGTATTTCACTTTAATTTGTCAGACCTTAATGCAGTATCCTTAAGTAAAAACATCTTAATTACTGAATACATATTGAAGATAAGTGCTTCACTATTATTTTGTAGTAGTTTTTATATCGATATTAAGGAGACTATTATTGTAGGGGCATATTCAATCAACATTAATTACGTTTTCATAACACATATCAGGAAGAGAAGCAATGATAGTTTAAAAAAATCCAAAAATACATTTTTCTATTATCACATGCTTGTAATTATTACCATTGAGATGGATTAAAGGTTCTGAAATAAAGAAAGATGAATCTTCAAGAAAGTAAAGTTCATTTGGAAATCCGGTATTTTAATATTTTATGGCAGATTTTGTTGCTAGAAATTTACCATATTTTTATATTGACATGTTGCAAGCACAATGATTGAAATGGATGCCCAAAAAATAAAGCTTTAAATCATACAAAGTGGCCATCTGATATATTTTTTAGATATGTTATCACCAGCGGATATTCAAATAGAGTTTGCCTTTCCCCATATTGCCCCACGGAACGCACAAAAAGTGTAGACGATACTTTGAAATTATATTGTGAATTCATACATTTGAACTGAACTAATTAATGGTTTCAATGTCACTACATGGAAAATAGTAGACCCAACTATTTGAATATCGAGCGTCAATCATATCGGCGGCCGATACATATTTTTGCACCTAAACTCCCTTAAAAATGTGAATTCTATTTGAATATACCCTAAGAAAGATTTTTTATCAAATAAGGTATAGTATCTAATTCAAAAATTTTAATTATATATTTACATACCGAATATAAAAATATGAAAGTGATCAGTCTTTTCTTAAGAGGCTTCATCATACCTCCCCCTCTCTTCTGTTGTACTGTTACGAGTTGAAAAGTAGCAACGCAGTATTTTGTAAGCATAATAATCCACCCCACGCATCAGTTGCCACGGAGGAGCCTTGGGTGACAAATTTGTGTGGAGGCGCCCGACTTATCAGGTACGCCACTGTATGTTTTAATCCACCCAACGACATTAACGGCTCCCCTTCGACATGTTTAAACTTGCAAAGTTAATTTCACCGGACTATTTACTATTTTTTTCAGTCCGCCTGTCTGCAATGACATCTCCGGTTCGTGGCATTTGCTAAATAAACTATCGAAGTTAATTTCACGGGACTAATCCGCCTGAAGGCATCGACCACTCTGGTTTGAGGCGTTTTTCAAATAAACATACAAAGTCAATTTTACTGGACGATATCCTTTAATCGACCCCACGGCATAGACTGCTCTTGTTAGCCAAATAAACTTGTAAAGTCAATTTTACTGGACTATATCCTTTAATCCGCCCGATGGCAAGGACTATTCTCGATTAAGGCGGTTGCTTAAGAAACTTGCGAAAGTTAATTCCAGCGAATTATATCCTTTAATCTTTCTTACGGCATCGAATACTTTCGTTCGAGCTGTTTGCAGAAAAATCTTGCAGTGTTAATTTCACCGGACTGTTTTCGTTAATCCGCCTGACGGCATCGACTACACGTTTGTTCGTACAGTATTCTTGTTGGCGACTGTGTCTGGGATCCAGATGTATGAATTCTGTCTAAATAGCGTTTCATAACGATTGTGTGGCGGGATCTTGGACACGATCACTGACAGGTTGGTAACAGCTGTACGAACAGGGCTTACATCCGTGTTAGGCGTTTGACAAATAAACTTATTCAGTTAATTTAACTTCATTATATTCGTTAATCCGCCGAACGACATTAGACTTCTCATGTGCGCCACTGACTGAAAGTTTATAAAAATAAACGACAAACATACAGGGTGTTCATTTGAAAACTTCCCACCACGGATTTATCAAAAACCACTGATTAAAAGACAAAACGCCTAGACACGTCAAAAGATTTGTCAAGGGGGACAACTTTTTAACCAAAAACTACTTAACTCCCTTTCACCTGTCCCCCAGGGTCATCCCCTTAAAATTTTTAAATGGCAAAGGGTATCGAGTAATAGCTTGTTCGAAAGGTATTTCGAACTCCTTTATTTTGACGTATGATTTTTTAAAATCTGTACATTAGTTTTCAGTGATAAAAATCCAAATGACGGTGGTGGTAATTAAAAGAAAAAAATATTCTTTAGGTTATTGTTTATTGCAACATGTTACAAAAAATTAGTAGGAGCCCTAATCACATTCCATCAATTACTAATACATCCAGGTAAACTATAAGAATAAAATAAAAAAAAGGTGACATTTTTTTGAATTGATACTCTATTTCTGTTTCATCTCACATATGAAATATTTAATGTTGTTTAGCCATATTGAATAAAAACAGCTACCATCTTTACCAGGTAACAAACTAGGACAATATTCAGCGAATCTAGAGTACATATTCATCTTTTCTATCACAATTTACTCTAGTAAATGATTCCCATTACTTGTGTAAGACTAGATAAGTGAACGGTTCATAATCACCTTAAAAATATGAAATCAAAATTAGCACTCGAAGTGTCTTACAGTCTTAAAAGGTGCATGCCTAACTTCTGTTACTGAATAACATGCCATTTTAGTCCAACCCAAAATGCAGAATGTTTAAAAAGTTTTTTCAAGCTGTTTTCAACAAACTTATGTACTGATTATTACAAAATAATATATTAAATACGAGACACAACTTAGTGTCGTTAAAGGTATCGTCATTGTGCAAAATAAACGTAAGGTTCTATCTTGGCTTAAAAATTAGCAAAATTCATTTTACGTATCTCCAACGATGTAATTTTTATTCTTTTTGGTAAGATCTTAAATCACTTTGACGTCGCCCAAATCTCAAATTTTGCAGGAGTAGTCACCAAAATTTGGACACCTTCATTTCAAATATACTCTCCTCGACTATTTTTTTCAAAAGCTCTCCCTTATACCTAGACTATAGGGTTCTAATGCAACTAAAAGAAACATTAAAAATTAGTTTATTCTTAGTTACATGCTCCAATATGCAAGTTATGATATAAAAATACCTAAGCCGGTTTAGGTAAAGCTTCGGCGACTATATCAAAATAGTAAATGCAGAACACGGAGCTGTTATGAGAGACGATTCTCAGGAACTGGCCAGCAATTTCTGTTAGTTCTTTTTGGAGAGCAGTCAGACCAGAAGGCACTTTTTGAGGATCGGCAGTTGAGGATTCAATTATGTCCAAGAAGAAATCCTTCACTCTCTGCTCTAAAACAACAACGACTCAATAACATATGTCAGAAGTGCCTACAAAAATTTGGAAAGAATAAAGATGTATCTTGGCGGCTCCACTGCCATACTAAGCACAGAGGGAGTATCTGCAGTTTTCGGGCATATTAGGTTTTGAATAACTAATATATCAGCGGCATTTTCTCCCATTGTTTTGAGTTTTTAGACAAAAATCAATACAGGGTGTCCAGTGGAAAAGTTCAAATTCGAATTACGCGGCAACCGTATACGCGAGGAAATGGGGAGAGGTCTTGATTGTCGCGTCCGGCGTGTGGGTTAAATAGTCACAATGGAACGTTGGACCGGAGCGCATCGTGCTTTTGCTATCGAAGCTTACTTTAAGAGTGGTGATTCATACACAGCTGCCTTTCGGAAATTTTTTAAACGACTAAAAAAGTGGATTAAGAGGTTCCGTGAAACAGGCTCTACTCTTAGTCAACCCATTTCTGGTTCACACCCAAAAGAGAAACAACAACAGCTACATAGTACACAGGTGACTGTTTGGTGCTCCATATCCTCTAGCGGTATTAATGGGCCCTATTTCTTTGAAGATGAAAACGGTCATGCATTGACGTCAATTTGTAAGAACAGAAACACATCATTTCAACAGGATGGGGCGACTGGCCATACTTACAGAGAATCGATGGATACGGTGGAAGCACTTTTTCCTCAAAAAGTTATATCGAAGTTCGGAGACATTCACTGGCTTCCTAGGTCACCCGACCTCACACCATGCGATTATGTTGTGGGGTTATCTGAATTCAAAAGTGTATTCCAATAATCCATAAACACTGAAGGAGCTTAAAGACAACATTCGACGAGAAATAAACAACATGACTCCGGAACTCTGCAACAGAGTGTTACAGAATTTGCGCGCGCGATTAGAAGAGTGTGTCCGAATGGATGACTAACATTTGGACGGAATGATATTTAAGAAATAAAACCCGCCGAATTTACGAATAGGTTGATAGTAATAAATATTTTCTTTTCATTAAGTGTGTATTTTTTTTTCTTAAATCAAAAAGAGAACTTTCCCACTGGACACCGTGTAGTTTCCTTAAAATCCAACATTTTTGTTTAACATATCTGCACAAATGTCAAGTTTTACTAAGGTATATCAATTGTAAGTGACAGTGTGGCTGTAGATAATTTTTCGCCTAGCATCGTGTACATACAAATTCTATGCCTTAGTAATTTATTTATTTATTTATTTCCAACAGGTGAAACCCAATTACAGGAAATGCTGAAAAAAATAACAATTAAAGAGACATTCTAAGTAAGATTGGATGATCTATAGCAGTTAATAATCGATGCACAACTGTCACTGTAAATATCACACGATTCAGTAACACTGTTCATCACGCAGCACATGAGATTAATTGGCGATTTTGTCATAACATTTGTACGGCCAGCTTGACAATAGAATGCCGTTTGTTGTCGACTCCCTAGCCTTGGAACGCGGAAACATATTTTTTCAAGTAAATTTTGACAGTCAATTTTATTGTGAATGACGCCATACAAAAACGACAAAGCAAATATGTTTCGTCTTGTTGACAGTGAATCCAAATTGAAAAACTCTAATAGGGCACTATGGTCACAACCTCTTTCTGGATAAGAACCTGTGCATTTAAGGTGAAAATACTTTAAAGCTTTACGTTGAATGGCCTCAAGGATCACGACAGAATTTTGGTATATAGGAGACCAGATCAGAGTCGCATACTCCAACTTGCTCCTGACAAAAGTAAAAAACAAAGTCATTAATGTATCAACATTGGAGAAACCCTTCCCGTTTCTGATACAGAAACCAAGTAGTCGAGTGGCAGCCGACGAGATATTGAGTATATGCTCAGTAAACGTTAGCTTGGTATCAAAAATGACTCCAAGGTCTCTATAAGAGGTGCATCTGTCTATAACCTGACCATTGATGTTATAATTATCATAAATAGTTAACTTTTCTTGTATAAGTCATAACTTTACATTTCGAAACATTCAGACTGAGACAGTTTCGTGAACACCATGACGAAATTAGAGCTAAGTCATCTTGCAACATGATGCAATCCTCGACTGTCTTGACTGACGTGCAGATTTTAAGGTCATTAGCGAAAAACAAATGGAAACACTTCAGTTCAAAAGACAAGTCATAAATATTAAAAACAATAATGAGAGATTTGACCCTTAAGGTACCCCAGACGTGGCCCGATAGTAACTCGACCTATGACCACCATATTCGACAAATAACCTTCTATCCCTCAAATATGAATTCATGAGCGACAGCATTGCATCAGACATACCCACTGTTTTAAGCTTATCCAGAAGTGCATAATGATCAACTTGATCAAACGCCTTCTGAATATCTGTGTAGATGACATCAACTTGTCCCTGACCGTACAGTACTTCAGAAATGTACTGAGTAATCAGAGCCAAGTTGGTGACCGTAGATCTGCCTCTCATAAACCCATGCTGATTAATAGAGACTGCACCCCTGACCGAGAAGTAAACCGTTTCATAAGCGATGATCTCAAACAACTTGCTGAAATTGCACAGGATTGCTATTTGGCGATAGTTGGAAATATCAGAGATATCTCCACTTTTGTGAATAGGACATATTTTAGAGGTCTTCCAGATATTTGGATATGTCTCTGATTTTAGAATTCGGTTGAATATGGAAGCCAGCGGTTTCGCTAGTATATGAATGCAATCTTTAACGAAAAAACTTGGAATACCATCACATCCAGATGTCATTTTGTTCTTTAATCTTTTTGAAGCCCTAATTACGTTTTCTTCACTTATATTTTTTAAAGAAATGATATCGGTAGAATTATTTGTTGGAGGAGATGATCCTAGTAGACCAGACGGGATAAACACTCTTGAAAAGAAGGTAGCAAAACTGTCCACTATATCCTGAGGCGTATCGCAGACATTGCCGTTAAGCGTCATCCTTGGGAGGATTATAGATTGCTGTTTTTTGATCTGGGCAAATGACCAGAATTTGCTAGGATCATTGACAATGGCATCCTCAACCGATTGGACGTAAGCGGAGTAGGCAACACTGATCTGGTTCTTAATGAGCTTCCTAAAATTACTGAACTGATCATAAGACAAATTAGTACCGTCACGTTTCCAATTCCTTCTTGCTATGTCCTTCTTCTTGATATTAAGTATAATTTCACGTGTGAACCATGGGGGATACGAAAACATTTTATTTTTACATTTAGGGACATGGACCTCAAAGATGTTATTGATAACTGAATACAAGGCGGTACAAGCGACATCATCTGATCACCTCCGTCCAATTAACATCTTGCAAGGCTGTGTACATTTCAGGAAAGTTAGCTTTGCGAAAGTTAAACCGTGGAGAATTAGCAAATGGGAATTTCGTTGGAGATCCGGATGTAATGAATTCCACGATCAGTGCAGGATGATGAACGTCCTCTTTAACAGAAGGTGTATTATCTCTGAGGACTTCTATTTCGATATTTCCTAAAATTAAATCCAGTATTCGGCAATTTATATTTGGAATATTATTAAAATTAGTTAAATCTAAAAACGAAATAAAATTGCTCAGTAATTGAGACTTCTGATCATTCACGTCACTGTTGAATGATGCGGCATTAAAGTCACCAGCAACAATTATTTTACAATTACTGAATGCATTGTTAAATACTTCCAAAGCTTCAAGGTACTGACCAAACATGTCCAAATTAATTGAAGGCGGAATATAAATAGAAAATATAACAAAATGCTCATGGTTAATAATAAGCCAAATATATACAGTATCAATCGACGGAAAGTTTCGACTCAAAGCAATAGCGTCAATTCTAATTGCATGGAAATCGCGTTTTATGGCTATCAAGACTCCTCCGCCGGAAACTAGGCCAGATCGAATAAAGTCACGATCACATCTGAACACACAGTATTCAGCCGGAAATAATTCACTATCACTCACATTCACAGACAGCCACGTCTCAGTCAAGCAAATTAAATCAAATTCGTAGTCACTGACTGCATTGAAGAATGACACCGTCTTAGAGTTGAGACCACGAACGTTCTGGTAGGAGCACCTTAGCTTAAGTCTCTCATGACAATGTGGTCTGTTATTGGGTTCAGTTATGCGTTTAAAGTAACAATCTTCGGAACCCCATTGAAATATTTAATTCTGAGGTTACTTTCACCTTGCGCGATCCTTTCATTCAGTTTGCTCTTTAAGTAGCGATAGAGCTCCATCTGTTTTGGAGTTTTATCAAAAGCAACCGATGTATTTTTATATTTTTCATTGTTTTTTAGGGTATTAGTCTTCTTGATTATAGTATGAACCATCTCCTCTGAGTGAAAGATTGCCTTTACTGGCCTGGTCGAGCCTTGTCTAAATTTTCCAATGCGCAGAACCTTAACGCCCAGATTAGTAAAATTACCATCGACAATCTAACAGTTGCCCCAGTTTTGCTGTAGTATAACAATACGAAAGTTGTTCTAGATACGATTTTTTGCATAGTAACATGTGAATACAACTTTTATGTGTTTAGTAATGTAACAGTTGCTCCTTTTTTGCTTTAGTATGTTGGCTGAAAATATTTGACCCCAAGATGGCGAAAAAGGCTGATAAAAATTACTTGAGAAAAAGTATATACACTATTTTTCCACATAGGTATACTTACTGACTATTGCTTTCACTTTATGGTCAGGTTTTCCTATATCTAAAATTAACTGTTTCAGGTTTGCCTCTGCACCCTGAAACATCTCAGGTATTTCATATTTTCCCTGTGCCTCTTTCACTTCTATTACAACTTGCTCAGCTACATTTGGCAATGTATCATTCAAATTCCTGAAAAAAAAAGAGAATTGATCGCCCACGAGAACTAAAAATTCAGGCTAAAAGACATATGCATTTTACTTGGCAGATACTTCCAAATCTTTCATCGAGAAAATTCCGATTAATAGGCGTTCAAGACCTTTTCTTGGCAATATGTCATGTTACAATCTTAACCGCGACCTTCAACATCACTTTCAAGATTAACCTTTTTTCAAACAAAACTAATACCCTTTTGGCCCCGTAATTGATTAGAACGTCTATCAAAGTTTTATTGTGATGATCAAACTCGAGGTGATATGATACTTACTTGTCAGTCTTGACGTTTTGTAGTAAAATGGAAATATGCTGTTTGCAAGCCTGCTTGAAAGGCGTTATCGACTGTAAGTCAGCACCCGCGTTACTTAAAGTTACCAATAATACTGTAGCTATGTTGATAAGACGAAAAGTTCCTACTTCGAGGTCATGTAACCTTCCTTCATCCAACATAAAGGTCTAGAAATACAAGAAGATCAGGAATCATTATAATTTGCATGATATATTTGGCAGCGACCTGGATGTTTGGTATTATGCTTCATTTTTTCTGGTGCATACATACCTCAGGATATGGGGTGTCTGCAGGCCAGTCTAAAAGCTCAACGCAAGCTTGACAGAAAGCTCGTTTCACTACTGTCCTGATAAACTTTTCATATTCAATGTTTTCAGGAATTTTCTCCTCTGTATTGATGTGCTTTAGCAACCATTTTCTCGTATGTTCCAAACCATCTAAAAAGCAGTCAAATCTTACTACGACATGAACAGAATCAAACACTGATAGAGAAAGAGGAACAAAACGTGTGTTTGACAACAGTGTTAAAAGAAAAAACTATTAATATTCACCAGTTTGTATGGCTAGATAATCGGCAAATTTTTTCCTCTCCAAGTCTACACTACGCGCTATAATATCCGGTCTTGCCATCTGCAACGTGAAGTTGGCCATATCAAGCTGCATCAGATCTAGTAACTAAAAAGGATGTGATTAAACAAAGAAACTCGAATATATGGGTACGATTAATACCTCTAGGATTCCTCTAAATGTATCAATCACATCTGATGTTTCCTTCAATTCATTTATTTTGTCGTCCCTTATTGGCGCACACAGCTTAGACATTACAGAAATCACATACTGTGCATAGTTCTGAAAAATAGATAAACTGATCAGTAATGATATTTTATTTCATGAAATAGAATAGAGAATAATATACATAATATTAATCTGTTTAGTTTACCTTGAAGTCCAGGGTGCCTTGTAAAGCTTGCTGCTTAATGAGATCTGTATCTAATATTTCAGAGATCTGTTGTCTGATTCTTGTGTGTTGTGGCAAAAGGACAGCAAATAGTCCTTCTTTTATTTCTTCTAACAAGTTCAACGCCTATAAATATCTTAGATTCAATAGGACTAAGTGGTCCGTACAATTACCAAGGTTGGGAGCGTATAAATGTAGTAATATCAAAAATAGAGATAAACCCTCCATCCCCAAGTTCTTTTACCTCTAAAATGGATTTCAAAAATGATCAGGATCATCTGAAATGTCAAAAACCGAAGTTGGAGCGATTTTCATTCTTCTTCATTTTTGCCCTTTTTCTCTGCCGCCAGTGGACCGATTTTCAAAAACTACAAAGGTTTTGCGTCCTTGGCGTAGTAGTAACATTGTGTGAAACTTTCACCGAAATCCAAATGGCATTTCTCAAGTTTTAGGCGGAAATGAGTGAAATGGTGTTTCGTACTGGACATGTTATATGACGTGCATTTTCGAAATTTTTCGCAATTACCATACGCCAGTAGGCGTGGAAGTCAAAAGGAACTAGAGAATTTGACGGCAATATTATTCTTAACGATTGTTATATAGAACAAAAACGGGTTCCAATATTGTATGATGCGCATCATCACGGTCAGTAGCCTACTGTATCAACATCAACAATGCCAAGGACTATGAGTGGGTTGGGTCGTTTTCAATGTGAACTCTCGATAAAGGATAATATACAAAAGCAATAAAACAGGTTGTTCCGTCTTGTACTTTCCACACCGGTAAACATCTCATAAAACACAATAAAATTGCTAAAAACAGGGTTAAAATTTACATTTCAATTGTTGGAGATTGAAAATCGTCGAAGGATTTTAAGTTTGACCCAAAGATACGCAAGCAAATTATGAAGCTCAAGTAAATCTTGGATTTTGACTGAAATCGTGGATTACTCTGCGATTTGATTAACTACTCCCAGGTTTGCACGTACGAGAAGCTTTCAACTGTATATGTATTGTGTATTCCTAAAAATGAGATCAACATTTCAAGATTATCCCTCAACCTCCCTTGCAACTAAGGATTCCATATTCTCAGAATGTCTCAACGACGGCAAAGGAAATCCATAAACTTGCGCCTAAAGATGGTGGTCGACAGGGATAGTTGTAAATATGATGCTTGGTTGCCGATTCTCGCAATAGATAGCGTGATGCTGTGTCTAATTTTAAGGTAGTCAAAAGTTTTATGATTTCAGAAGTGAAGGAATTTGATTTCGATTCTTATGACTATATTTGCGAGAAGTGCGTAGACGCACAGGCATAAGCATTGCTTGCAATTCAATTGACTGAAGTGGCGACCTGTACATATACTTGTTGCATAAACACTCTTTCCATTATTCTGTTGATTGAGCTGATTGCCTGAGAATGATGCTATAAATGACATGCAATATAGTATTCCTTCTTTGTTCATATAAGTCACAGTCATAATTATTTATATTTTTCCAACAAATCCTGGGATAGCCTATGTATGTTACCTGTGTATAATTTGGAGGTTCTTCTGCCAGCTGTGCCCTAAGTACATCCCAAAAAGCCTTGTGCATTGTATCCTTGATAATTTTTTGGACACTATCAGGCTCTGGCTCTACTCTTTTCAACCTAAAATCTTTATCAACGACAATCTGATGGACAAGAGCCATGTCGCGCATTCCGTTAGCAGCCTGCATTATTTCTTCTAGCGAGACGAATTTTGGTGGTGAGGCGGATGTTAGACCACTGGTCACCATGAATTGCTGGGATGTGGTCCTTTGTCTAAAATTTAATTTGGGTACTAGCGCTAATATAGTCTATGAAGTTGCAATGTACAAATCAATAACTTCAAGACTACAAATATTATATTTATTTTTAAGGGTGTTAATTAAAGCAAAAACCAGGACAACATAAGGTTATACATGATGTGTGACCTGCCCTCAGTTAAGTGAGTGTTTGTTGGAAAAAAGCTCAGTAATGCCTAAAAAAATATTGACTGGTGTTCAATATTGAAAGTATTGCATGGATATACAAATTTAGGTAGTGAAGTGTGTGTTAAACCAACAGTAAAAGCTGCTAAAGTCAAATATGTAATTGTAGCTTGTCAGAGCAATCTCTATGACCTTAATCTGTAACATTGGAAATAATTAATCGGGTGCAAATCTTGTAAAACTTGCTTGTATATAAATGAACTTTTCTAAATAAAATAGTTAGCAAGTACAAAATGAGTCTGTAGCATACAAAAAACCAAAACCAAATACTGCTCTGTCTACCTGGCGTCGACGGATCCATCAGAATGATGTCTAATTTGTCGATATGGATAATTTTGAAATAGTAGTAGATAATCAGTATTCTACCATAATGAATACTCTTGAAAAAGGCAATAGGATCAGCTGTTTTGATATGGGAGCAGTCTCCAGGAACTTATAGCTCATATGTGTCACAATAATTTGATAAGTCTGTGAGGCCCGACAATGGTAAATCACCCTTGTGTTGGAATTATTTGTTTTGTATGTCAGATTTGATATTCCAGTCATAGATAATGATAAAGTAATTTGTGTGATATTAGCTCTTGTGTCTCAATAATGAAATTTGATGAGTCATAATATTATTTATGACAAGCTATGTTATGAAGCCACTTCCATCACAATTTTACTTTTGGTGCTGTTTAAGTCAGAATATTTTTATTAATATAATGTTAAATTCACTTTTATTCCTCATTTTCAGTTGATTCATCTGATTTTGTGTTTGTGTGCTTACATGCACCAATTGCTAAGATGTGAGTTTTTGTATTCCACAGAGTAAAATCATGTTACACTCACACACACACAATGCACAATGTTGAAAGTAAAGTATATGAATGTCAATTAATAAAGCTGAACTCCTATATAATCTGATTTCCATAAAAACAGAAAAACTGTCCTCTCAAAAAACACCACAAAAAATAAATGCAACATGAGAATAACTTACTAACATACCGCAGCAGTTTAAAAACACCATTAATGCTCCTAAATAAATATTATATGGTCATTCTAATCCTTTTCACATCAAATAAATATTCATAGTACAACAGTTAATGGTGAACTATGTAATATAAGTAGCCTATATATTAATTATTTTCTGAATTAGAGATGCTTATAAATTTTGATGGTAACCTTACATGTCTACAAGACTCACATAACAATACAAGCTATAGAAACCATACAACCATTTAAGAATTATAGAGAGTAAAATTATAAATTTCCATTACAAGATAAAATCACTTTTTTATTGTAAAAATATTAGCACTTTAACATGTGCCTGTCATACATTGTTTCAAACAAGTCAAATCAAAAGATTCATTTGCTTAATTGTGTAACAGATCTCTGATTTGATATAAGTTAACCAAGAACACTTAAATATGTACTGGTATTCTAGTGATGCCCAACTGAAATAGCTGGAATACAGTAAATATATATTTCATTGCCAATAATAAGCCATATTCAAAAGTAACACATTTTGAGAAAAAAATTAGGAAACAAAGGACTGATTTTTTAATTTGAAATGAACTCATACCTCTTGCCTGTAAACCCAGAGGTCCCATCGTCGCTGGTATAACTGCATTCACTAGTGGTTCGAGCCCTATTTTCTATATCTTTTGGTTCACTAGCTGCATTTTTCTCATTGCTCATGTTAAGCACGATATTTTTATGCACGTCCCTGGTTGGGTCAGCCGAGTTCTAAAAGCAGAGTACAAAAAGTGGGACGCAACACACTATTTCAAGCCACTGATGAAAAAAGGCAACAAAGGAGTACGTATTGTGCAAGGTTAACTACCGCGGAATTAAAACGTAGTTATATGAGTCACAGAACTTGCCGATTTTTTTATTAAAAAGAAACGGTTTTCAACTTGTGAATTTTTAACACCACTTATCACTGAGAATTTTGAAATGAGATCAAAATAGTGAAAACGTCAACTTACTCAGCTGTTTATTGTTTACCAACAGAAGCAGGATACTGGGAAGTTTTTTTGCCTTGAAATATGTATTGTTGCCTGGGGAAATTTTATTTTCCTACTATGGTAGTTCCAAGGTAGTTCGTTGCCGTCCCGTGACAAGTCATCCTTGTCGAAATCGATTGTTGAGCCCGAATTCCCAAACAATTCGATACGGAACGAACGTAACAGTATTAATCCAGTATATCAGGGATGGGTAGATCTTGAATAAGTCTTGACCATACACAGCAACGCAACGCGCAACTGTATTGAACGAATTCAGGCATCGCATAACGCGCAGCCGTCTTATTATGCAGAGCATCCTGGCAGGTTATTTTTACTTTGGATACATACTATTTGAAACGTGTAGCTCAATAGGGATAACCACACAGCGTGAGAAACACAATTCTCACCTGCTTACAGTGTGTGCCAGAGGAATTTGCGCAAACATTTGACATAATTCCGAAACAGTTGTGTTGCTGCGTACACTTTATGCTGTGCCCTAAATCAGCAAACTGAAAAAGTGATAATAGAAATTGATCGAATTTTTGTCATGAGTCTCCATGCTTTTCTAGCTGAGAAATAAAACCAAATGTTTATGTCATTACGTAGGTTTTCCTATAAAATGTCACATTTGAATTACCTAGACTGGAGTAGCTACCTTGGGTGGCACCCGGTGCGGAAGTTGATGTTGTCAGCCCATCGAAAGTCAAAAGCAATAAATTTAATATGATTTATAAATGTCATGAATCATTTAATATTTATATTTGAAATATTGAACAAATAACAAAACAATAAAAACTAAGACACATTTTTATCTTACAATATTAAAATCTCTTCTTTTTAGCTTTGTATTACCTCGTTCTCGATGGCTAATATACTAAGATTGCTATGCCGCGATTGGATCATTATTGCCCGCGAATAGTTTTTTATTAATTTTAGTTTACTGAAACTCTTTTCACATGAAGCTACGGACACGCAAACCGTCATAAACAATTTTAGTGCATTCATAAAATTTGGAAGAGATTCTGTAAAATCCCATTCTACAATAAACTTAAAAAAATCTATGGATGCCCAATCAGAAGCTGTAACATTAGCGGCTTTTAAGTGTCTTCGCAGTCTTGGTATCTCCAAAAGTAATTGTTTCTTTTTACCACTACACGTTTAACAATTCACGCCAACCAAACCCAACACACTTACGAAACAAATGAGAAATGATGCAACTGAGATGTCAAGGATAATAATAATAATAATAATAATAATAATAATAATATGCCTTTATTTTAGCTGGCGGGTGTATCAGCTAATAGCTGCTTTTGGTACCAACCAGGGCTACATAAGTTTAACAAACATAAAAAAAATCACAGATACAAAAAAAATAATGATCAAGACATATAGTACTGAAAAGTGACAAATACAACATAATAGTGTGTAAAATGTGTAGACAGATTTAAATCACATACACTCACGCACTCACTGAAACAGAAATAATGAAAAAAAAGACCACAACCAGACACTTAATGTAGAATCACAGCAGTTACAAGGTGAAAGCTTAGTATAGAATTAGGTATTAACGAGAACAAATTGCTTTATTTTAACTTTAAAATTATTGTTACTCCAACTTTTCAGATCTGATGATAGACAATTATAAAGGGAAGGCGCTATGTATGAGAAGCACTTTGTGAATTGTGTTGATTTATGGGGGGGGCATATCGAGGGTATAACCTACAAAGCGTAAGTTCGCCGAGTGATGCTGACTTCTAAATGAGAGTTTGCTGCTCAGATATGCTGGATATTTGGTTAATGGGACTGTCTGTACTATGACCAACAAGTGTACAATCCATCTCTGACGCATCGTGAGCCACTTGACATCCTCAATGTATCTAGTAATGTGTTCCCTTCTCGGAACACCTAATGCATACCTGATACAACTATTTTGCACTTTTTGTATCCTATAAGCTTCCGACTGTGTCAGGCATAGACCATACACCGCATCAGCGTATTCGACTTTGCTGAGAATCAAAGAGTTACAAAGCTTGATCTTGGTTTGACTAGATAATACATGTTTATAACTGTAAATTGTCTTGAGCTTAGAATATGAATTTTGCACAACCCTGGAAACGTGATCGTGAAAAGTGAGATGTTCATCCACTATTACTCCTAAATTTTTCACGCATTTTATATGAGGCAAGTCTCCACCTTCCAGGTGTAATTCTATCAAGTTACTATCGAAATTACTTTGTATGGACTTAATAGTTATGACAGCAGATTTGATTGAATTGATAAGTAACCCGTGATCGTTATACCACTTTGCAACGCGATCTAGATCACAAGACATTCTCCTGTTTGCCTCCAGGAAATCGGAAGGATGGTAAGACAAATAGAATTGGGTATCGTCAGCGTAAGACTGAATAGAACAATATTTAATGTCACGACTTAGATCGAACGTATACAAAGTAAACAAAATTGGGCCAAGTATGGAGTCCTGCGGTACCCCTTTCAAAATCGCACGCTTATTGGACATACAGCCGCCTACATTGACTAGCTGTGACCGCTCATGCAAGTAACTCCTAAACCACGTAACAGTACTACCAGAAAATCCAAGATAATGCAGCTTAGCAAGAAGCAATTCATGATTGATAGAATCGAAAGCTTTGCTGAAATCAACTAGAATTGATGTTGTGACACAAGATTTATCCATAGCTCTGATATAGTCATCACATATGTTTATCAAAGTGGTAACCGTACTGTGACCTTTCCGAAACCCCGACTGAACATTTGGAATCAAACTGTTTTTATTTATGTGTCATAGTATTTGCTCATAGACAATTCTTTCCAGAATTTTAGATAGCAATGGCAGTATACTAATAGGCCTGAAATCACCAGGTGCTATCGGATCATCAATTTTTGCATAGCGGCTTTCCATAGGCTCGGCACGACACCTTTTTCTAGTGAAAAATTTATAATGTGTGTTAATGCATCGATACAGTATGGAATTAGGGGAATCAAAAGATCTAAGTTCAGGCCATCCAGACCCTCTGCACATGACTTAATTTTAGAAAAAATATCCAAAACCCTTTCTTTAGTAACAAGTTTAAAGCTAAACGGTTGAACTGCAGGGGAAAGATGATTTGTGTTATAGAATGTCCGTAAGTAGTTATTAACCTTATTGACGGGAATAGAGTCTATGAAATAATCATTAAGCATGTTAGGCTGTATTGAACACCGGTTATCATTTTTAGAACCATGAACGCCAAGGTTTTTGATAGCATTCCACCATTCTCGACTATTGTTGCTTTGTCTCAGTTTATATTCAAGTAAGCTTTCTTTTCCCTCCTGAAAGAGGCTGTGACAAGATTTCTAAGCTGTTTATAATATATCCATTTTGAAGCTATTATTTCACTGGGATAGTTGTTCTTTACTGCTTTAATATATTGAGAATAAGCCTTATTTCGCAGTCGCATCATAAATTTGATATTAGTAGTAATCCAAGGATACCGTGCTTTGGTAATCTTTTTGGTTTTGAAAGGAGCACAAACGTTGAGTACATTTTCAACCAATTCATAAAAATATCGCAACTTGTCTTCAATGCTTTCTAAATGGACTACATCTAAGCAATAGAGAGACGATGCAACTTCTTTTAATAAGGAGTGATCGATGTTTCTTATGTCTCCAGTAGGTACATATTTCGGACACCTAACATTTTTTTCACATTCAATGCAGAAATATTCCAAACTGTGGTCAGAAATGGTGGGGAGACAGACGAGACCTGTTTTAGTAATGCTTAATTCTCTGTTCACAAAAACAGCATCTATAAGGCTGCCACTATTGTTAGTTACTCTTGTCTTTTCGTTCACAATTTGTTTGAAATTAAGATCCTGGATAAATGTTGATACGAATTTAAAATCTGGGCTATTAGTATTATGGAAATTGATATTCAAATCACCCATGCCAATAATATCCTCGGATGTAGGAAGAAGAGATGCTAGCATCTTTTCTAGCGATGTCAGCGAGTTCTAGTGAACATGAGGAGGCTTGTATATAACTCCAACATTGATTGTTTTTTTATTAACCTTGATCTTGATCCAGAGTTGTTCAAAACCATCATTCTGAGACACTTGTAGGAAAGAGCACCTAAGTCCTAACCTAACGTACAAAGCAACTCCCCCACCTCGCCTGTCTTGCCTATCAGATCTGAATAGCTGATAACCTGGAATATGAACACTTGAATCAATAATACTTGGCTTCAGCCACGTTTCAGTTAAGCCGATGACATCAAAATTTT